CATTTCTCAACCCTAGTCATTTGTACCGTGGGGGTAATTTACAGTACAGTGAAGCTCAACTGAATACATAATACTCAAAACCATGAAGAATTTACTGCAAACGCAAGAGTTGAGAAAATGCTTTGCTGACAACAGATATGCATGGAAGCTTTGGTCTGGGGCTAGTCGGGGCCGCCAAGGATTCAAAGCTGAGAAACCATCATGCAGCCTTGTGCTGTTCGTAACATAAATGCCAACTTCACATCTTGTGCAAAATGTTACCGATGCCAGTGATCTGTTGGACCCTTTCAAACCAGACTGAGAAAGTGGATTTATGCAAGATTTTTGTTTGCCAAATAAAAATAAAAATGAAAAAACCATATTGAAATTGCCATAATATTTAAATATTTAACGAGCTTGATGGTGAGTAGTGCTTACTCATGATTTCCTGGGTGAGTGTTATTTGCTCTGAGTCCACACCAGTAATTACCAGCTAAGATGGGCAACTGCAAAAACAAAAAGAACACTATGTACAACAATGAATGCCATCCAGCTAGGTATGACCATAAGCCCCCTACCCAAAAGACAGACAGACACAGTGAGAGAAAGAGTCATAACTAGGAAAGTTCTTCCCCGGCCCTTGACATCTGATAATGAAAATGCAAACATGTATGAAATGTAACATGTATTACCAGATACTTAACGTCGTTCTAGAGTATTTCAAGAAGAAGGCCCAGTTCAGTTTTTTTGGTTATGTTTTTTCGAGGAGGCACAGGGTTAGGGCTAGACGACTCTGACCAGCTTCAGTGTTGTCTGATTTAAAACGCCTTGATTTAAATCACTGATTTAATCAAATCAACAACCCTGATGATCAACTTACGATTTTTACCCTTCAACACAAATGCTGTAAAAATCCACTATTATAGGCAAGTCCATCATGAGTCCCTTCAATCATTTTCACAAGTCACTCAGTCTTTATAAGCCAAGTCAGAAACTATTCAAATGCACCTAGTCTAAAGCAGTCCTTTGTCACTGTTCAGCCTCTTGCTTACGATTAGTCTTGTGAACAGACTTTTGACTGGTCTTGTGAAGGGACTTGTACTTGAAAGCAAGGCTGGTGAATATGATATTGGGCCAACACTGTTACTCTGAGACTCTTTACACGGCATTCGGGAAACTCAAAAAATGTTCTTCAAAATCCATACCGTGTCAATTTTTAAGGAATTGTGCAGACTGTCAACAGTAGCAACTATGATTCTCACTCGCTAGATGTGTCAAAACATTGAAAAATGTGATTAGATGACTTGGTTGCCTTTTGCACGATCAGGGGCAATTCAAGTATTTCAATCTAAACTCATTTTTTTATTATTTCTTAAACAATCCCTACATTGAAGTATTTGGTAACCCTGAGCTTCTCTGAAATTGTATCAAATTAGGCAAATTGTTTTTTTAAAAATCACTTTTAGACATACATGAGAAATGATATAACTATTATGGTTGCAAAGGTTTCCAATACTTTAGAAAGAAAATGTCCTCCTCTCTGAAAAAAATAAAAAGAGTTCAAACATACCCGATTGGTAACAAAATTGCGCTCTGTACTGTCGTGGATGGAAACCAGGTGAGCATTTTGTTTATGGCAAAACTCCTCAGCTTCGTACCAGTCTTTCAATCCATCCGTGTTGGTGCTGAAGTAGTAGCAATTTGGATTCAGGTGTACCCACTGTGGGAAGCCGGGGCACGGGTCGCCTAAACGAGAAAGTATGCCCAGGCCATCAAAGCACTGAGGGGACACTTGGTTTTGTTTGGGAAGTGTACATGACGAGTGTAGTTTCCCAATGACTACGGAAACGGTATACATGCATGTGTGCACACCCATCCATTCTTGTCTAACATACCTAGCTTGTTACTCTGCTTTACTACGGTTAAGACACTTGGACACAGTCACCCGGTCATTTTCTCTCACTATGAGCACTCCTTCCAGCAGGATTTTTGAAATGATTTCATTATCACATTGATAATGATCTTGTCTGTGGCTCGGCATCAGCCACGTCCATTCTCCTGAGCTGATCTTAAAAGCTTATTTCCGACCACCAAGCACATATTTACTCCCTTATTAAAATTGACCCTACTTCGAATCTCGTAATATGATTTATGTCTAAAATCAAGGTAACTTTGAAAAATTGAGAAAAATAACAAATTTCTCTTTCAATCATCAACTGTTTGGGAGAAAACACAAATTTGTAAGTGTTACTTTATCAAAGATTTACCTGTAGGAATTGTTGGTGCTGGGGTCGTTATCGGCATTTTGCCTGCAGAGAGCACATAAAAAAAAATATTCTTCAAATTCAAACGATGTACGAAAGTACTATGACATGATCTTCCTTATACATTCCTGATATGATTGTAGCAAGATATCAAAAAGACATTTTGGAAACAGAAATCCTCCTAGTGTGCATGTAAGAAAACAAAATTGGTTTACACAATCAGCTGGGCATTGTTTACCTTTGGGTATGGAGCATATGTAATTCCGTCTGTTCCAGCAGCCTAGGTCATTCCATTTCCCTCCCTTGAAGTCTGTTTCTACGCACTCCTCCCAGCCACCATAGTCATTAGGCTCCCCAGCCCCCCAGTTGGTGTACTCCACTGGTGTGCCGTCACTCCAAGAATAACCTAGAGAGCGAGGTAATACCAAGGAGATAGGCCTCACAAGTCTAGAAGAGAAGGGACTCTTAGAATTTCTCAATAACCCTCTCTCCCTCCACCTGGTCAATGGAAGAGGCGTTTGCCCAGTTACGAGTCGACTATCACTGTATGGAGATGTTGCATAATGCCAACTCATACGCATAAATGAATAATGATAAGGAATGATTAAAGGTCAACAGTATCATTCGAAATGGACCAATGATGATGGAGTGCATTACATAAAGGCAACCAAATTTAACCTAAATGAATCACTCAGACACTAATAATTCTTGTGAATGCCACAACATTTATAGTCAAACAATAACTTGTGCAGGCAAAGAAGGTAACATACCTCCTTCGTAACGCTGGTCATTTAATCCAATCCAGAACCATCTAGTACCTTTTGGAGAGCTGAAAAGGACAAACATGTAACATATGATGATTGTTTTTCTAAGGAACTCTGACAAGATGTTTAAATGCAGCTGCAATGAAGTTTTCTCAGACACATTTTTCTTCAACATGTATTCTTCTTCAATCTATGAAAACTCATTTACATTCCTACTTGGTTATTTGAAAAATGCAGCTTTTGTGAACACTTAAGATTATCTTTGCTTTCCTGTATGACCAAGGGCACTGTTGCTGTGACTTCAACTAGGGAAGACACAGTTCAGTGCAGAGGCTTATCTGTTCAAATTGTGAACACAGAACTTACTTACTGAAAACTTTTCTGAGAGAGGGATTGATGCTTGCTCATTGCTATGCACATAAGCAGCAATGAGTCACTCAAGAAGAGAAACTGAGTCTGGCAAATTCTAAAAAATGTAGAGTTTTTTTGTGTACAACCCAATGCAAAGGCTGGTTTAGAATTCAGGCGAATGCAAAAGTGATGGGAATTAGACATCACAACAACTTTGTGAAGAAATTTCGCTAGAATTGAAATGCATTCAACTTTTACAAAATCGCAATGCCAATATTTGATCTGACATCACTAATTCACATTTGCTTTCACACAAAGTATGAATCAGTATTAACTTGATGGCTTCTTCCTGGGATGATGTCATAGTTTTTCTCATGAATATGGAAATATTCATTTGCATAAAACCAAAAAGGCAGCAAAATACCCTTTGAAATGGGGAAACAAAAGTTGAAAATAAGGTTAATTGACACACAAACGTACATTTTAAAGGTTTATATTAAAACAACTTGATTGCAGATAGCCTTTAAGAAGTTTGAAAGATTCCAACAAAAGCAGTGCTCATAAGTCTTTGTTACCTTTTGTTGGAACTTAACCTGTGGAGAAACGTATCTGCAAGTAGGCAGGAATCAAACCAAAAGGTTCCAACAGAAAGGCCGATATTAATTGCAAGTTTGTGGGTCCTATCTATTACAAATGGCACATATACATCAAAACTTACAACTGACTATTTAAAAGTGAAAAGCAGAAAGGAAAAATCTACCGATTTATGAATAAAGAGAGGCCCCGTCCACCCCTTTACCTCATATTTGCTGCTGGGGAGAAATCTCCTGAGATCTCAGAAACTGCAGCATTTCTCGCAGTTTTCAATATTTTGATCGCTTGACGTCACCACTCATGTTTACCATAGTACGAACTTGATCTGAAAGAAGTGTGCCCCTCAGAAGGTCTGACACATTTCAAGTGTTCAACGAACCCTCACTCTGCAGTGATAATCTTGGCCAACTTACAGCTTGCTTGTCAAGTACGCCTCTTCATCGGGATGGTGGAAGCTGGCCAGGCTAGCTCCCATATTCTCGCATTCCCTGTTGGCTGTGTCCCAATTCACTGCCTCGTCATCGCTCTTGAGCTCAAAAATCTGAAATGCAGAATATGAACCCGATACGAAAACTTAATCATTATAACTCTGAAACAATTAAGCATTTAGGAGGAATTCCTCAAACCCTCCCCCAACAAGGGTGGATCCAGAATTGAATTTTCAGGAAGGCCAAAATTGTTTTTGGAGACCAAAGATTTGGGAAATCCTTTAAGGCCATTCTGAGGAGCGAGGCTGAATTTGGGGTTGTCACACGATTTTGGAAAGAAGGGAAATAAAGAATTCATCAAAAAATCAGCTTTCTCTCTTTACGTTTTCATTTCAAATTTCAACTTAATGCTGTCCACACGGAGTTACTTAAATTGGTGAACCCACACAAAGAGAAATAATGCCCCTTAACGGAGTTTAATTGATCTATAGGCGTATGTGCAAGAGTATTAGATATCGACACGATCAGCGAGTGTTTTCTCTCGCATACCTGGAAGCATCGACTGCCGTAGCCAACCCATCCCGTTGCACAGTCCGTGTCCGTCGGTGGGGTGGGCGTTACCGCAGGAGGGGGGGTTATGGGCGGATAACCAGTCCGGGCCTTCTCACAGACAAATTTGTGCTTCTGCGTGCAGTCGCGGTCGGCCCAGTAGCCAGCCTCTTTGCCACTGCTTATGGCAACGCAGTGGCCCTGTCGGTCATCTGTGAACATGTCAACAAAGCCAATGTATGTCCTGTTTTTTCCGGGGGGGCCAACTGGGGTTAATGTCAAACTAGAAACTGCTGCCCATTTTGCAAAACTTTACACCTTGCCATAACTTCACTTGTGCTTCATTTTTCACCATAAGTTGCAGATCCCATGACCACTAATGGCAGAAGTGGGAAGGGGGCTCCCTCACTTTCAGCAGGTCCTATAAGGGAGTAGGGCTCAATGAACCAGCCCATTAATGGCTGATGCCTGATGATCTAACAACTCCCCCCCCCCATTTCATGAAGTTACCTACTGGTAAGTCTGCATCCCCTGCAACAAGTCAAGGCGTTACTAATGAAATGATTTTAGGATTTTAGGTGGCATATTCTGTATCAGACAAATCGGATGTAAACGCTAACTGCATTCAGAGAAGGCTCGTCATTTTCAACCTGAAAGGTTTACATGAGGCAGGTACACAGTTTTGAGGTAATAAAACTTGTCTATCTGTGATAGAACTTCCAGATTTGGTGCTTGGATCTGACAAAGAAATGACACAAACTTTTCAAAATGTAATCGGTGCAGCTGATGTAAACAACTGTTTACTGATGACGGCTGTGATATCGAAAAGGAACATAAAAGCAGTAATCGCACTCATCCAAGATGTTTCAGATAAAAATTTTAACACTGAACAGCTGAGCAACTTTTCGCATTTCGTGCACGCTATATATGCCAGAAACTTGCGATGTGAGGGTAATGCATGGTGCAAAGTCAAGCCAAGTTTCATGAAATCAACGGCTAGCTTCACAAACCTTTCAAGCAATACAAACAGTTCAGGTTCAGGCTGAGATTGTCGCAAGGACTTTTTAAGGCTAAGACCTCCGTGAGACCCTGGTTTGGCTAATAAGATCTGATCTCTTCAAGACTTAGTCACAAACCGCGCATAAAGAAACAACAGTTGCAATTACATGTTTAAAAGACTCAAGTTACATCAGAAGATGTGTTGAAGAAATCTGCTTTAGTCATATTTTGTTTACTAATCCTATTTGAGGTTCACTCCCACCATACTGTATCAAGCAGGATGTTGTGCTTTGCAAGGAAGAGCAGTAAACCCCTTACCAGGTTGACCGTCTCCCCAGTTGGTGTATGTTATCGGCGTGCCATCCAACCACTCATAATAGCCTGCCACTCTGCTGTCACTAAAACCAATGAAGAAGTCATCTTGCATTTCATACAAGCCCAGAACTCCACTCAGGTAAGCTAGCTCCATCCTGCAGGACAATAAGTGGAGGGTCGATGTTGGCGAGTGGTTTATACAACAAAGCTGGACTACGCCAGGGGGCCCAATTTTGGCCAAATGGCATGGGGCCATTTCCACTTACAACTCGGGGACAACTTTTTGTATCTTTTAGTAAAAAGCACCAGCGGGAAGAACAATGTGCTCTTTCACAGAGCTTCTCCAAAAGAAAATCTGTTGCCACTACATACTGCCCAATGAGAAACAGCTCACAAGATTATGAGAATCACTTACAACTTCAGTGACGGCAAAAGTGAAAAAAATGTGCCGCGTTCACTTTTAGTTAACAGTTTGCATACCTGTCCTCAACAACAACCAGCTGAGCTCCAGGTTCTTTCTGGCAGGCAACCTGGGCATCTGCCCAGGAACGCAAGAAATCATTGACCTGGTAGCATCTGTCTCTCCAAGAATGAAGCCAATTCTGTCCAAAATATTAAAGACATTGGTGAGCAAGGATCATGATTAAGTTGCTTTATTGTCACTTGGTTGTGAGATGCTCTAGAAGTTTGCGTGCCTTTGGACTTTCAAAACTCATTCAAATTACTTTCCCAATTAACACAGAAAATGTCATGAATTAAAAATTCAAATACCAAATGTATGTAAATCTAAACTAAAATTAGACTGAAATGATAAAAAAACTCCAAGTAATACTTTACTGGTGAGCCTTAAATGGTGAAAGAGGACAACTTTGCTGCATATTAAATTGAAAATCTTTCATGGAGAAAGACATTCATGTGCACTGGACCCTTTGACCTCATGAACCCTTTGCTGTAGCTTTGCTCATGATGCAAACAAAGAATCTATGCACCAGTGGAGACCTGCCAACCTGTCGTACTCCTTCCTGAGGTCAGGCAATATCACACAATAGATTAAAAGGTATTTAAATGAGCCCTCAGTTCATTTAAAATTCTGATCTATTATGTGGTGATGCCTGACCTCAGGAAAGAGTACGAAAGGTTGGCAGGTATGCCAGTAGCATAGCCAAGGGAGGCTTGGAGGATGCATGCCCCCCCTAAAAAAATATTGTCCTCTTGCTGCCACCTCTGGAAACTTGGAAAACAAACAATAGTTAAGTTTATTACTAAGAATATGCCTGGACTTGAGACCCCTCTCTGGGTAACACCCAGCTCCCCCATTCACCCCTCCTCCATTGAGACCGCTGGCTATGGTGCTGCTATGCACACCACAGCAGAAATATCTCCACCAACGCTTGCCCATAGGTACATTCCAAACAAAAAGGAAACTGATGAGCCTGAGCCCATTTCTGGACTCTCTGTGGCTGTAAGTGCAGAGTGGTGATTAGAGGTACAGAAATCAATGGTGGGCAAGCCCATGACTAAATCTACATACTGCGGCTACAACAACAACTTGAAGAGACAGGGGTTTTTTTCCCCTGCAGAAAACTTCGGTGAGTAACCAGAGTAAGTCAGAGGGAACAGTGAGGATGGCATTTCAAAGGGAATCCTGCAAAAAGATAAACCACAAAAGTACAGGAAAGGGTTCAGCAGAACTAATAATTCATTTCAAGAGTGTCTAGTTTTCCTCTCCTGTTTCTGTATTCTGGTTCAACTATCGGATCAGCACTAGATTATCTCTATCACTGAAAAGGTTATAAGTAATACCTCATCCCAGAACGACCACCACCTGTAAATAACGTATGGAGCTGAGACAATTTGGAAATGATGATTTTTCTTTAAGGTAAAATTTTACTTTGTTTTTAAACCAATCCCCAGTCCCGAGTTTACTTCTGCAGTCCCTCAACTTTTGTTTGTTTTCAGATAATCTGAAACTGATTTTCAACACCTAAAAGAGACGAGACAGAGCATGTACTTACACCACTTGACGGGCACGTAGTGTCTTGTGGTGGAGGAGGGTTTCCAGTGGATACAAGTTTCCGACAAATTGAATTGAAGGTGTATCCCTTGCAGGGCACATCATTCCAGAAACCCTGTGTGGGAAAGAAATATTGAAAGTTACAATCAACTTACACGTTTTCTTTCTCCAATGAATCAAGTTTTTTTTCTCCATTCTGCACAATATTTCTGATCTCTCTTATGCCTACTTGTAGTTGCAATTTTCAACTAGTTTAACCGTGTCAAAGTCAATACTCCGGATTCAGAAGTGAGAGGGAAACCTCAAGAGTGACTTTCTGGGAAAAATCCACAGAATCGGGTAGAAACTGAAAACACCTGGTCCACGTGTCAGCCTCGGCGAACCTAGATCACATGGTGTGGAAGTTGAGAATTACGAGTAGCAGTGCGCTATCCTGACTCCCCTACTCACAGAATCAATGTACAATTCAGTGCAGTCCTCTCCATTGGCATCATTTGGCTCCTGGGCATTCCAATTTGTAAAGAGCACCGGTTCCCCATTGGACCACTCATACAACATCTCCTGGTTCCGGTCATTCAGTCCGATCCAGTAGCGATTCTCCTGTTGGTCTGAGGGGGTATAATAAAGCAACTGATAAGCATGGAAACAAGAAATTCAAGTTACCAATTAATATTATGGGACCTGCAAAATCTGCATCAAGCATCATCATCATGGTATAATTGGCAAATCCCCCCCCCACTCTTTGAGTTTTTAAAACTTGTGCCTTTTCTTTTTCCTTCGTTCTACCATCAGCTAGTTACTACTTCGGTGCACTGGGGATGTTTGACTTCTACGTTTGTCTGGACTGGTGTGTGCCCCCTCCTTTCAAAAATGATGGATGTGCTGCTGCGTTTATACCTATTTTCAGTTCGCGCGTCCCTCCCACCAAAAATAAATCCCTCCAATTCATCCCTGAACCTACTTTGATCGAAGATGAATGCACGCAGGAAGTTGTTAACGTTGACGTCATTGATGGACGTCACCTCAGCTCCAAGCTTCTGGCATTCGGCCTCTGCCCCGGCAAAATCAAACTTGTTGGTGTTGGCGTAGTAGCAGAACTCCTTGTACCGGCCCCAGCCCTTGGGACAGCCCTTGTTGGACGGCACCGGTGTGGGCTGAGGCGGAGGGTTGGCAAACAAATCTGCCAGGACAAGTGGATCAGGACATATCATTGGCTGTGTGCATACACCGTGAGGGCAGCAAAGGGAAGCCATTACTTGGTGGGGTGTCAAAGGACATGTCTTTAAAAAGAAGACTTCAATCCACTCTGAGTTCAAGTCAAAAGCTATTCAAATGAACTACAACAAAAGCATTCTTTTGTCACTGTTCACCCATGTGTGACATCTCTTGCATTTGGTCCTGTGTCTGGTCTTATGATGCATAGTCTTGTGACTAGTCTTCCTGGAACGGTGTTGTGAATGGTCTTGTGTCTGGTCTTGTAACAATTTTAATCCATCACTGGAGAGGTTGACACTATTTTTCACCCCTTTATGAGCACGCAACATCTAGGCTCCATTAGGGAAAACACCAATCTAACCCCAAACAAGAAATGAATGAGTCGATCCTCAGTGTTCTCCCTGAGTGGTTCAGACAGGTAATTAAGCCACCCTGCAACAATCCTACACAGCCATATTAAAAGACTTGCCACCCTGCTTCATCCAGTGCACAATGTAACCACCGGTAACAAAACAAGACGTACTGTGATGTACTTGAATCTAATGGATTTCCCAAAGTTTTATCGAAACATGACCTCTGTCACTGCCTTAATGTTTCCATGACTACACATACAAGGCTCAAGCATGTTTCTGAAAGAGTTACAATAACCGCTCTAAAGTCGCTTAAAAGTTTCCAACCATCATCAAGAATTATCAAACAGTTGTTTCATACATTATAAAGAAAGGATTAAGCCATGTCTACGCTACCCAAAAGTCCAAAAGGCATACAGAACAACCTTTGGGTTGTCATAAATTACCTCGCTCATAGTAGTCAAAGTGTTGCGTGTCAAAGGTCGGTATGAGTCCGCCAGCCGTAGCCTGGTCCACCTTGTAGAGGTAACAGGTGCGGGTGGCTCTCTCGTAGTCAAACGACTTGCAATAGAAGGTGCTGGTGGGCAGGTCCAGGCACTTTTGGGCGCACTCCTTGGGCCAGGCATCCTTCACTATCATTTTGTTGGGAGTGCTCGTTATTCTCTTCTCCGAGAATGTTATGAAGTACTTGAAGATCATGTCTGAAAGGCAGAAGACAATTGGACAGCGATGAACAAGTGTGCCAGGGTGTCAAATAACAAGAACAAAAAAAATTGGCTCTAAATTATTTGTATACAAATGATCTAAAATGGCAAGAGTCTATGGATAGTACGGCAAACAGACACCCATTTAAGTAAAACCTAATCCAAAATAAACCTTATCCCAAATTCAAAGAAATGAGTAAAAACACATATGGAAAATGTATTCAAGTTCTTCACAAAATGCTCATCCACCTACTTGGAACATGAATACAAAATATGTTTTAAGCATTCATGTAGCTTGGTTTAATTTAAAATTTTCCCACACAAACCATGTCTAAAATCACAGAGTAACTTTTGAAGTTACGGTTACTGGTATACAGTACCACATTTTAAAACTGGTTCTTGAGATCAAGTGGTCTGGTGCTCTCAGGCATCAATTTGTGATGCACAGCCACAGAGAGAACTTGTGGTATACTTTCAGATTTCCTGCCACACCCTGTAACTCTTTGAATTCTCAATGTGCTTGAAAGTTACCGGGTATTACTAACAAACTTTATTTCAGAAAATCTACATCAAAACATGCAAAGGAACATGACAGAGTTTCAATATAAAATATTTTTAAATGGTGTACAAAACAGAAATCATGCAAAACACCCTGAAATCCAATCCGGGAAAATCTTCAATACTTTTAATGGCTAATTATGTGGATATGCTTGGTGACTTCAAATTACTCATTTCTACGAGTAATACTTGGGTCCAACATATTCTGAACTTAATTCAAGTAAAACGATTTCAAGCACAGAACATTTCAACCACAAATGTCCACAAACGGAGAAAGCAAAAGGACTTAAAAAATCAAAACAAGGTGTACAAAAAATTGTTTTTAAAAATTTTTCATTAACTTGCCATCTTTGTTGCAGCTATAGCCGAGGCCATGTTCGCAGAATTGGTCATTCCAGGTTCCGTCATTATTGTAAAAGGTACAGCAATGTTCCCCAATCTGAGTATAGCCCTGCCAATTATCTGGCTGACCTACAAGAATTAGGGCATAAAATGTACCAAATTATAAAGTCCGGTTCATGCTCAAGGAGAATGCAAACGCGAAGCCATTAATTGACAAAACAAAATATATTCTGTAAAATTTGCTTGAGTTAAACTATGTTCGAAATTGCTAATTTTCAGTCTCACTATTTGATCACACATCACTGATCTCATCTGTGTTCACTTTTATGCCACTTACGAACCATCCTTGAGGCAGGTGAGACAGGGAAAGCTCTACACAAACTCACACCAACCAGGTAAAAACATAATGTAATCATGTTACTGGAAAGTTGTGCTTCAATTTGGACATAATAGGCATATCTGTCTTTAGGCGTCATGGCAACACATGTTTGTAACAACATTGTGCAATGAATTTTTGAGAACATTACTGGAGGGGTTGTAGCGGTTGATGACCATGTTTAATCAAATGTCCCCACATTAGGCAGACATCTCCTCACAATTTCATTATTGCAGTGTTGAATAAAAACATGACATAAACACAATCCTATTACAATGCCACAAGGCATATCTTTGAGCAAGAAGCACAGCCCATCCCCATTAATGGAGAAAAGGTTTAACTGCCACATGGACCGTTGTATGATACCTCAGGGACTCGAGATTTTGTTCATGTGCAAGTGATACAGGTATTGATAAATATTACAAGTACAAATTGAAAAGGTAAAAGAACTACATTTGGTTCAAAAGTTCATGAATTGGGATTCAAGAAATGTGAGCCTTTATGTATTCCCCCATCCCTCTCAAAGTCTAGGATTCTGTCGGTGTATACGTCAATGGTGACATCTAAGTATCTCTTAGTGGGACTCAGAGAGGGTGCAATTTCCTTTGCAATTGACTGTTCTTATGCTAGAATGGACAACCAACGGAAGTGCAGTTCCCCCTATGAAAGGAACTGCACTTGGCTGGTTCTCAAATGACAACGAAATGCATGCGTTGCAGTCGCGTCACTACCAACAAAGCAAACACTCCCCACCAACATGGCTCTTTTCAAACAAAGGGGGGGACTTTTGGCTCGAGACAGATAACTTTCTCAGGACTTATTCCAGATTGAATACATCATGGAACAGACTGGTACAAGAAGTTGACATTAAACATGCTCGCATTTAGCGACTCATAACAGTGTAATGGACAAATAGGCATTTTGGAAACACACAAGGGGCCACTGCACATACGTGATGTAGTACCACTGCAGTGATGATGACATTTGATTTATCGGTTGCCGAGTAACAAACCAGCCTCCACGTCAACCAAGTCAGACTGCCTCATTGGTCTAACGAGGTGTAGCGATCACCGATTCCCTTACCCGCAGCCCAGTTGATTATTACAAATGGTTTCTTATCACTCCAGACCCATCCGCCCTCCCTGCCAAGATCGTTGCATCCAATCCACGTTTCACCTCCGCCGGTGGTCTTCAAGCGGCCTGTTGAGCAATCAAGAAAGAACCAGCAATAATGTTGAGAAATGTGTTTCATTCCAAGATGAGAAATTGACCCGAATAGTCCCTGTTGCAAAGTTGCACATAAATAACAGTAGGCACTGGGAAATTTCATTTTTGTAATGAAAGTATATACTGACATTTGGATTTCTGCCCACCTCACATTGTTATTACCTAGCAACAAGTCTGCACAAATATCTAGGTGATAGTAATTGGACAAACCTTGTGGTTACACTAAAATATGCCCCACGGATTGAGTAAACATATTTTTCTTTACTGGAAGTTATTTTTACTCTAAGCTAAAAGTTTGCAGCGAGGTGGCATTGGCCAGTGATGAACATACAAGCATACTACAGTATTGCTATCCCAAGCAGTCTCCTCATAAGCATTATATCAATTGTTTCAAAAAAGTTTTGATGGCTATAAAGGAAGTTATCTCCCGACTTACTGGTTGCATAGGCCAAGTCGTCGTTCCCTACTAAGCTCATCAAGTCACCACCCAGTAGACGGCAACTGTAGCGAGCTCCAAACCAGTTGGTCCACTCAAAAGGCTGGAAGTAGTAGCACTTGCCAGACTTCTTGTTGAATTCCCAGCCCATGCCACAGCGGGAATCATAAATGACTGATCGAGGGAGAAAAAAGGAAGAGCTAGTCGCTTTGTGGGAATTGACAAACAAAATTTATTTGAACAGATAAAAAGCTGTCTAGCAAATGTGAAAAGAGAAACAAAATCCGGTCTGAATTGATCAAAAGTCATATGAATAAATATAAATGCTTACAGGTTTCGCATGAACCTTTCTAGATTACTGTATTTCACAATGCAGCGACTAAGTTCACCACTGTTGTTGATGTCACAATCCTTCAAACTTGGGTCAGTTTGTTTGAGGGGGTGGGGGGCAGTTTACCATAGATAAAAAGGACAGAATGCTACACATACATACCTACATGTATAACAGACAGACATTTCAACTGGACAATATATTTGGAATATTTTAGAACTGACATTCTGGTGAGCCAGTGTTACAGCACTGAGATGGGTTACCTGTTGGTGGAGGTGGGGTACTTGGTCCGGGCCCTTTGACTGAAAACATTGACAAAAATAAACGAAGTCAAGAGTTGGAATGACACTAAAGGTGTCACCTGACGCAGGTGGAATCTAATTGACCATTGCCAGGGAGGCAAATTGGTGGATGACAGGTGATAGGTGAATTCAATCATAATAACTAGTTAAAGTTGCTGAGACAAAAGTAACATTTCTGTCACTTGAGATGGACATAACAAAATGCCTACGGTCCCAAACTTTGATTACTTTTGCAAGGATTCTACAATTTCTGAGTGCGAGTTGTTTGACGAGTCTGGACTGTGATGAGTTTGGTCTGTGATGAGTTTGGTCTGTGATGAATTTCAGTTGTGATGCGTTTCACTAATGGTGTAACCTGCACTCGGTTGAATATCCACATTTAGAAGCCGGTGCTTTATAAGCATGCCCCATTCAGAATCCATCCTAATTCTTTCTTCTCCGACCAGTTCAAATCTTGTTAAATTCTCTTTTACAATGGAGAGACATGCAAATCTCAAGCAACCCGGGACTAGAACTACTTTTTTTCAATTTTCTGCAGTAATCATTTTGACTGACTCACTGGCATCTTTCTTGCAAGCGTAGTAGTTCTTTTCGCTGCAGGAGCGCACCTTCCAAAGTCCGTAGCTTGTGGTTTGGCCCTCCATGCTCACACAGTCATCGGTGCCCAAATTTCCAGGGTTAGCCCAATTGTTATAAACAAACTGCAACCAAAATGAGAGACACAGTACTCCAGCATCCAGCATCAAAAACGGCAGTGTGAAGGTGGCTTTCCATATACACATCACCACTTCCACCAAGCATTGAGTATCCGTCACAATCGCACCCAGGGCGATTTTGACGGCCGAATGCAACACACACATGTGTTATGTTAATGGAATCAATTTTATGTCCATGAAAGTGAACGCACTATGTACACAACACACCCAAAAAACATACATAGCGCCTTGAACCTTGAACTCACATCATTCGAGATCAATTGCCAGCGGCATAGCCAGTGGGGTGTGGGGGCAGAACCCAACCCCATGAAATCTTGTCAGCCCCACTGAAAATTTTGCAAATGGGAAAAAAAAATGACAAATAGAGGGATTTCACAGTAGCGCTGTCTGCGCATATCTGCATCGAAACCGAGGCTCTCTGTGTTGAACTCCGTCGCGCACGCCCGCGAAGTCGACACAGTATATGCAGTATCCGGTTCATAAGTGTGATGCCACTTTTGAACCACGCCCACTGCGCATGCAGATACACGACCATGGCAGGTACGTTAGTTTGCGGTAAATTGCCGTTATTTTTTGTTTGATTTGACGTGTGGAGTCATCCTGAAAGACTCTTCCACAAAAATTTGCAGCCTGAAAAGTCTGAATTTAACATACCTTTATGTATTTTGTGTCTTGACTCCTTACTTTCAGTCGTCTGATCGTATTTAGATTTGAAGCTGACACATACAGCCTCGTTTTCAAATGCGGAAGTGCGCAGATTGACGCTAAAAGCGTCGTATTGGGATCCCTCTATACCTAAGGTCGAGTTCGGGCAGCCTGTTCTTGACACGGGTTTCTTGTTTTCGCACTCAAATGGCAAGAACACAACTCAAGAACACTGTTCTCGGAACAGGATCACACACCACCTCCTCGTCAGGGTTTTACCGGAACACACGGAAAAACTTGTGAGATTTTCATTTTTGAACAGCGGCAAAAAGTAGAGAGATGGCTTCCAAAGCCATAGACAATGGGAAGTTTTGCAACATTAACATTAATTACTTTCCATAACAAAGAAATGAATTTTCCTTTTTAAATAGAAAAGAATTCAGCCCATCCAAACAATAACTCTCAAGTAACATACATGGCCGCCGCCATGTTGCATGTTACTTGCCACTAACTACCAGCAATAACTAGTTGTACGTTCCCAGCGTTCCAGCGACCAGCCCACAAACAACAAATCCAGCTGTTCGTGAACATACGAGAACAAGCCGCATGAACTCAGCCTCAATGTAAGCATTATATATCAATACACCTGTGCAGCAGAAACACAAACCTGATCCTTAATTGCTATATTGAAATTATTGTGAATTATTTGCATTAAAAGCTATAAATTTGAGCCCTGGCACTGGAAACTACTATATCCCAATGAAGCGCCTCCTAGTGTTTTTATTTAAATGATAATGTTTCATAGTTTTTAAGGGAAATTAATTATTCCCCCCCCCCATCCAGCACTTCAGCAGTCAACCCCTATGGACAGAACCATAGTCTACACCACTGCAAATTTTGTGCAGCTTAGCAATTTCATGTGCTCATTTTGAATTGGCAGTGAACCAAAAAACATGTTTGTTTAAATACCAAACCATTCAATTGACCATTTGCCTTATAGTTACCGCACTGGTTTTCTTTCAAGCAAAATAAACAGGACCAAAAACAACACACAACAGATAAATCTCTTGCCAAAAATTTTTCTAAAATAATTTCCCACCAGCAAATCTGGCATTTTTCCCAAGAGATTTTCTATGCTTAACCAGCGTTCTCAAAAAATTCTTGAAAAACACACTGCTAATGAAAGTACAAGGAAAAACCTTCACCTTGGAGTTATCCGTCCAGACAAAGGTCCCTTCAGAGGCTTTGTCGTTTAGTCCCATCCAAACACGTTGCTTGACCACATTGATACGCACTAGAAAAAAAAACAATAAAAAACACCGTAATAATATCTTCGCACATGACTCCCTCTTGTTGTTATCATTCCAATCAAGCATTTCACAGCTCTGCGGCCATACCTAATTACTGTAAGTGGCATAGCAGTTTTTGCAATAAGACCATGGCAGATGTGCATTAAGTAAACACGGGTCACTGAGAGTGCACTGTAGAGTACCAAAGTATGACATCATTTAAACCACAAAGTGTAGTGCAAACGAATGGACAGCGCACATGTACCGGTTCAAGCGCTGATTCTAGAGGCAATACCTTTACACACATGGGTCCATGAACTTATTCACTTCAGCAATCATTAGAGAATGCTGCAGTTGTACAAACCACCAAGAAACTCCTTGGAACAAGAATTCACTTTTCTATCAAATACAGCCAGGCATACTGCTTTCTTCTTGTGCATGATTGGTCTTACCAGACATGAAAGATTGCTCGTCATCATTGAGTACGCTGACCAATTCAGCACCCACGTTTTTGCAGTCTTTGTCAGCATCAGCCCAAGTTTTTTTGGTCAGGACGATATCATAGCAGTAATCTTTGTGGAGATTCCATCCTGGTCCATCACAGTGGTTGGTTACTGTCGGGGGAAAAAAAGGACAAAGAAAGAAAGGAGAAATCTTTAGCAGATAGTTTCAGACAAGCAATTTTGTAAATAAATGGTCACAATTTTCTGTAAATAGACATTTTTACAAAAAGCACTAATGCAAAAAAATTGCATAAAAGACAAGTACGATCACAAGATTTGCATGGTGGGCAGAACAGAGTGATGAAGGTTTGTAGTGCCACCAAGTGAAATCTTCTTCGGAATCAGTGTTTTCGTCAGCATGCCCAGTCAGTCATAAGGAGACGACAGGGTGTGCCACCGGAAACATCAATAGACAAAAAAAGAGAACAGAAACAGGGGCCCCATTCCCTGATAATTGTTTATCAGTCCCCCCCCCCCGGAAAACCTGTGATATCCATACCCCACATATTGCTTAAAAATATGTCTTCCTTTAACATTCCCAATACACGTACAACATTCTGTGGAGCATGTTAAACGTGCAGCTGAGATCCAAATTTTCTTTTCTGAAATCCTCTTGGAATGAGGAGGTGAAGACCACTACACAAAGTTTCACAAACTATCTATCGGTTAATCACATCCTTGGTCAAGTGTGTTTATGCAACCACTATGTTATCATTTCCAAGATAAACCTACAACTTCAAGGTTTTCCTTATGAATTTCTTGATTTCTTCTTAGAACATTAATTAATTTCAAGCTGTCATCCAGCTCTATGTAAGTGAGGAGGGCATAGGTGACAGATTTGAGCCCCACATTTTTCTTGCAGGGACATATCAGAATGTTCGCCCTGCTGACCGATTAAAAGGGTGCAACGTATGTTCTCTGTGTCCAAACAAGTTAATTTAATGCAATACTTCGACTTACTGGGATTGGTAGGCACTGGCTCTATCTTAGCACCTGTCAACAAAAATATTACCAAAAAAAGTTACCATCCATGTGTTTGTTTAGAATGTTTACTGTTGAAATTATTATTCATGCAATGCAACAGTTCTGTAGTAGTTCACTGGCCTCGTTCAGAAGAAAATCTGTTTGTTTTCTAGACGTCTTAACAAGGATATGAGATTTTGCCACTTTGAGGCTCATTGTGGCCACATTAGGTCAGGCATTTTTATGGCTACGTCTTCCTTTTCAACCATATGCACATTACAGGGCACAGCCACAGCTACAAATAGCAACGGTCACTGCATAAAGAGACTTACCTGCTTTTGTTTGACACACGTAGGCTCCAAGTGCAAAGCAGTCCCCAGCTCTCCATTCGGCAGTCTGACTATCAGCTAAAAGAGACAAAAATGCAAAGAATGAGTCGTCTCATTGGAAAGGAATAACGTCTTGAGGTGGCAGTTTGAATGTTCCCTCCCACCCAGTTTTATCTTGTGGATGCGAACCTTCAATCTGTTACCTCATGCAATTATTCTGTCTACTACTTTCATTAACATTTTTTTTTGTACACAGCGCCATTTTGGCACCTACAAAATACCAACAGTTAAAGAACATCAAGCAAACCTGTACGGAATTTGTCACCATTACCCTGAATACACTGAAATCTCAAACCTGTGTTGATGAAAGCACAGTCCTTCTTCTGATCTGGTGACGTTGGAGGTTGTCCACTGACCCAGTGAGTGTACTGGTCAGTGGCAGAGGTGCCGTCAACCCATAAAAATGTGCCGTCGGTTTCCAAATCTGTCAGTTTTGGAGATCGCTTACAGGTTAGTACAAAATAAATGTTAAGATAAATGAAAAAGGCTGAGAGGGGTTTGCAGAGGGCTTGACACTGACGGGAGAAGATTTGTCAGTACTAAAAGATTGATTATTAACCTGATCACCCAATCTACATGAATATCTTGTATGTCAGAGAGGTACATTCCTGTTTCACTTGCTGCAACATTTAAAAGGCTGCTAATTATTGAATGAGTTATGGGTACGGCATCATTTCTCGCTGACTCTTAAGCTCTGAGCATCTTTAATGCATCGTTTACGTCCGTTATTCAACCCATGAAGAGCAAACCAACTATCAGAGTAGCAAAGAAACTGACATGAGCACATTTCATGTTTCAGCAAGTCTGCACATGTGCTATTCTAACAGGTGAATATCAATGGGCTGTTTCTCTTGAGCATGCAAATGAAAATGGCATGGAAAAAGAGCATACTCTCCAGTTGTGTTGATCTGTTTGTGATATAACTGTTCTCAACAAACCTGACGCTCCAATGTAGACCTCGTTGATACCTAAGGCATGCAGGTCACTCAGGAAAGATTTGATCGCGTTGTTCTCCACATCCCTGATCAAATGCATACCCAGAGGAAAATGACAAATGGAATTTTTTTTTAAATGACATGAAAACATACGTGTAGCCCTGGAGGGATATAATTTCCCTTGGCTGTGACTCATTTCGAATGCCTAACTTCTGCCCAAGAAATGCTGATTTGTGTGTACGAATTATAAATCACAGGTCATGCACATGATCTAGGTTATTACGAAGATTGTTCAGTATTTCCTGTGCACTGAACAGTATTTTTGGACCCAAACAATAGCAAATTGTGTGAGCAAATTAGTTTCTCATAGCCACAAAAATCTACAACGTGCACAAAATTTCTTAAATGAAAACAAATCTAAACTTTTGTTTGGAGAAAGAATAATGCTTACGATTTGATGACTGTCAGATAGGCCAGTTGTGCTTCACAGTATACTTTGGCATCCGTCCATGTCCGGAGTGTTTGAGAGTTGACTTGATAGCAATTTCCATTGGCCAAATACCATCCTGAAGCGCAGGCACCTGACAACAAAGGTGGACGGAAAAAATTGGGCTTCAACCGGTTTCCCCTAAAATAATGCTCTTCTCCATCAGCACGAGTGATAAAAATTTGGTAAGCTTTTCTAAATATATGTCAGGCAATAGTTTGGGTCATGGAAGAATTGATGTATGTGTCTACTCCTGCAGGATCCTGTCATTTGGTGAGGTTGGGTCCAAACTGGGCTTCCATGGCTACAGCTATGATTCTTGTCAACATGTGCCCATGTTGTCTGCAATCAGTATTACTCCTTCAGATAACCCTAGATACAATACATGTATTCAGACGTAGCCTTCTCCTGAGCTACTTGGCTTGTGTTTACTGGTAATGAAAAAAAAAGCCTCATAAAGTCCTTTGATCAAATATGATTGAAATTCAATGATGGAGATGAAATCACATTATGACAACTACATTATGGAATAACTAAGACCCTTCTGCAAAGGAATCAGTAAGGATTTTTGTAGTTCTTCAATCGACAATCTTTTTTCAAGTTACTGGTGGTAGGCATTAGGCTAACAGTTTCTGTTTCTGGCACAAAGTTAAATGCTCACAGTGCTCAAGGATCAAACTCATTACAAATGTACGTTCTATTATGATATCATTTCCAAATGCTCAGCATTTTGGTAATCCAATTTGCCCACTTTCATCACAAAACTGTGCAAAGAAAACACCATCAGGCCGCACCCCATTTAGCCTCTTAGCTCTCCACTCTGACTAAATGAACAGCCCTCTCATCACCAGCAAAGAAGAGACAGGCTGCTGGGGGGAAAAGAATTTCAAACTGACACACAAACACATACTAAGACTGCGCATTTCAACATACACTGATGCCCTGGTCAGCCCTTGTTCCTGCACAGTACTAATCAGTCAATACGTCAACCAGGAACTGGCAGAGTGTGGGTGAAGCATTCTCGACTTAACATCCCTTCCACCGACAGAAGTAGAAGCTCACCTTCTGGTATTTCGCAGACGAAATCCATCTTCTGAGTGCATTTGCTAATAGTCCAGAGCCCGCTGGTGTCTACGCTCCCACAGTCACCCTCCTGGCCATACCAACTGGTCAACAATTGGAAATCAAATGAATTAACTGAGTTATCAAAGAAAAGCTGCACGCAACACTTCATGATTACTGAGGCTGACTCCCCTACCTTTTGACCACCTGTGGAGAGTATTGTTTTTGGCCCAATACATATTGACAAGCCGGGATGTATCAGCCAACTTTTCAAATCGAACCAAACACCACAAATACTGACTCTTCTGAGAAGTCGTTTGTACAATAGTCGGGTGAGATTTTCACCCAAACTTGGCCTTTTGCTACTTCCAAAACCTTGGCCCTGTGAAAACTTTGCCTGTACAGCTGATCGAGTTAGGCACAAAGCACAGTCTGCTTCCATGGACTTGCCAGACTGCATGTTTTTGCGTAAAACTGGGGAACCACTGAAGTGCGATCCCTGTAGGCATGTCTAACACCACCTCACAGTAAGCCTGATGGAATAACTCATCAACGACCTTGCAAAAGCATATAGCCAGATCATTCTTATACATTCTCTGGCATGAACTGGTTTTAAAAACATTTTATTCAGACAGAGCGGACACCATTAAACTTTCTTATAACAATTTGAGGGAGTGAGGAAATGATGAGACAAATTTTAGGGGCAGATGAGCCTCCTAGAAAACCCAGCCTTCTTCTATGAACACTGACCAAGAGTTGATCCCGTATTCCCTTGACGTAATAGTGCCTCATAGTTCAATTCCCCACCCTCTGGTAGCGAACCAATGGTCTACGAGGTTTCCCTCTGAGAAAGTGTCCTGTCCACATACTTGTTCTTTGGCTGGCCACTAGCCCACTTTGAGAACGAGTTTGCCTTGTCAAAAGATGATTTGTCTGACCACTGGTATTCACCGTCCGTAGCACCATCCTGTATTGCAAAAAAAATGCCAAATGACAGGAAACGATAGTTTTATTGACTGGGCACTAAGGTTTAGTAGGAAAGCCTCTTAAGCACAACTGAAACCTGCCCCTGACTACCATCAGGAACTCAGAAGAAAATCAGCTACTCAATCCGGGAAATGGCTTGCGACATATTGCCACAGAAATTGAGAGCAATTCTCTCTGCCTGTAAAGGGATTATATAGTAGTACACTCTAAACCGTTAAGAACAATACTGTTTCACTATCAAAGAGAAGTGTAATCACTTTTATCTTCAAAAGCTAAGGTGCAGTGTAAATGGAACCTTCGTGGACTGGGAACAAATAAATGTTTGCTTATTTCACAGACAATATGTTGCGGATGGGGGGAGGCCGAGAAATTCTGCATGGGATCATTTTCAGATGGTCTGCTGTCTCTCTTGAAGTGGTCCGTGATACATTACTAAAATAAAATTGATTCGTGTGATACCATCATTCGGTACCCCCTTTTAATCAATATAAATGACCGTTCTGATCTGGTTATTTTGACTCGTGTTTCCAGATGTTTCAACATAAGAGCCAAAAAATACTTTTAAGGCCCATTCACCAAGACCTGCCTACCGGAATCATTAACAAACTTCAGCCTTAAGATGTGGTACAAGGAGACAAAATCTAAGATTTAAAAATCAAATTCTTGGAAAGGGGGACTTGTTTTGGGGCACAAAATTGAGGAAGTTTTTTCATGTCACGGTAAGTTTTTATGACCTGTCTGAGGGATGAGGCTACATTTGGGGGCTTTTTACACGCTTTTTGAAGGAAGCAGAAAGGAAACAAACCATAATATGGCCTTTCTCTGATTGTTAAAGAAAGCCTTTTATTGGGGTTTTTTTTGGGGGGGACGTCTTAGTCCCCGTCAGCATGCAACGTACCATCAGGCCAATCCAGTACTTGTACCCATGCGTAAGCTGGAGGTTGTCCAGGAATGCCTGGTCCTCTAGGCTCTTGACGTACGCTATGTGTCCACCTGGGTAGAAGGCACAGGTGTCTTCGGCCGTCTGCCATGTCACTTGGTTGTAGAGAAATTGGTAGCACTTGCCGTTGTAGCTTCTCCAACCGTGGGACTCATCACATTTTGGGATGGAGGCTACCAGAAGAAAACAGTCATGAATCCAAGTCATGTACAGTGTACTCCAAATGAACAACTGGTTTATGGGTTTTAAATGAGGGGCTTCTAGTCACGTACAGGATAAATTCCACCTCGCCTATTATCTTCATTCTCTGTACCAATCCAGAAATAATGCATGTACTACAGGGGGGTTTGGCTCATTGCCAATCTATTTTTTTAAACGGACCTATGTCAAAGGTTAGATGCCCCCTAAAAAACATAAAGCATGAGGGGGTCTTGTTTTTTGTAGACAGTTGAACAAAGTGATTAAATGGCTTCACCAAGAGCAACAAATACATGAGATAACACCCCTTCCTCCAATTTCCAAACCCAAAAAATTCAGAACACACTCAAGTCATCAAAAATCCTGGATTTACCCCCGTTTTCACATTGGAGACGGGAGGGTAACTGGGATTATTTTTCCGTATCCCAACTTTGAACAATTTCAAAGGTGGGGGAGTGGACATCATTGAACACTACAGGGTGCTGTTTATTACACACTGTATACATGGTATACATGGCCGTCGCTAGGATTTTACCCACGGGGGCAAAATGATTTGTTTCACAGAGGGGCGGAAGTATTCATTAGCATCAAATTGGTAACCCATTCATGGTAGATGGAGGCCAATCTGAGGTATTTTCAAGCAAATTGGTGATATCATTAGCCCCTTTCCTCCCTTTTTTTATTTCACTCAAATTTTCTTTTCCCTTTCCCAAATTTCAATTTTTTTCCAAAGGGGGCAAGTATCCTTCCCCTTTATGCCACCTGGCCCTCGCGACACCCATATGGCTGTGTATGCATGGAACACACAATCCATTAATAAGTGTGCACAAACTAATGTATACGTTGTTGCATTTCAACCCTGTTTCATAAACTTCTACAAGGAATATTTAACGTGAAATTTAAACATTTTTAAATCGTTTTTATTCCAATATTACTCAAAGTTCTGCCCAAAATGCCTCCTCAGTTTTTCATTTCTGTAATATGACAACTGCCAGAAGCTACAAAAGTAATTTATATTTAGACTTCTACAAATGTTGCAATTGAGTGGAACACAAATCTAGAGGTGTCCTGAAAGTATAGATAGCCATGCCACAAGCTACAAGTAATTTACACTGTCTGTAACCATGCTAACACAGTTTGTATCACACAGGCTTTGTATTGGTCTGAAAATTGAACCATCAAACCAGGATCAAATGAACCTTGCAAGAAGAATCAAATTAAGCAAATCTAAAATTCAACTGCTTGACACTTACTGCTGTTTCTTTCACAGATGAACGCCTCTTTGTCATTACAACTCAAATCGTTCCACTTTCCACTCGGCGGTAAGAAAGTTACACAGTCCTCATTTCCCCAAAACCAGCCACCATTGTTTGGCTCACCGGGATTCCAGTTCCTTGAAGACAAAGCAAGCATATCAGGGTCAAACTGGTATTGCTATGGGTCTGCCATGGTTCCGAAGGCCCAGTTAAGTTTCATCACTGAAGCATTACATGTACATCCAAGCTGCTCTGTCAACTCTCTGAACTACAGTCCTTGGTGTACAATTCATATTAGATCTAAATATCATTAAAAGCAGAAATGCTTGGACTGTACATCGGAAAGTGACTTAGTCCCTGACCACTGATGCCAGGAACTGGTTCCAAATTATATGTTCTTACAATTACGAAACATTTTTTAAGGGTTGGATAGAAAATTCTTCATAAAAAAACAAGTTACATTGAATACTTACCGGTACACGTATCAGTTTGGATAAGAAAATATTGGAAATTTGAAGAAACTTTATACCCTTTGTTTCTGATTCTTCTTTCATTTTTTACACTTCGGTAGGGTATAGTTTGTGTACTCACACACAACACTACTATTGCAGTAACAGGGGCCAAATTCCATACACATTGGCCACTTTTTGGGACATTTTTTTAACCCCAACGATTTTAAAAGGGGGCAACAATATGAGAGGGGCTAGAGATATGAATTGGGGTTCAGTTTGTTGAAGAAGGGGCCCCTTCTAATTTCCTGCACAAAAGCAATAACCTTTTCCCTCACAGTCATACCATTTTTGTAGTCATCATGGCAGCCTCCAGCATGTAGTTGATCGTGTAGAATAGTGCTCAAAACATCCGGCAAATTTCTCTCCGAAGACAGTGGGTTTAGCAACGGTTCAACTTCCTTACAATTTTGCAGGTCAGTGTTTTATAGGCCCACATTAGTCTAAAACAACTGTACTATCCTCATAGAAAAGTGGCCAAGGAGTGTGGATTTTTTTCTGAAAAAAGGTCAAGCTAGGCCAAAGGTCATCTACAGGTCTCTGCGACTCGCAATTTATGTATGTGGACACATGCTGATAACCTTTTTCAGTTGCTATGATGGTCAAGTTAACATTCTAATTAATATTGTGCACCCTCAAGCGCAAAACAAAGAACATGGCACTTCCACATTGAATCATACATCAAACTTACAGAAATCCAAACTACTAAGGCCTACAGTATTCCGTGTGGTAGAACCAAAACTAACATCTTGATGTTGTAATTGGACTTTGGCTTAATAAGCAACAAAACTATTCCAGGTTTGTGTTAGTCTTACACCGGAGAGCTATGGGGAATATCTACAGCCCCACATTGTTCTCACAACAGCCCTATCTCCAGCAATCTGGAATGCTACAGGGATTATCTCAGTGAAGAGCAACAAAGAACATGTCTAGCCTAACACAAGAAACGAGGGATGTTTCCAGACTTCAGAGAGCCTTACAGCATGTCGATGTAATTACATACATGTACATTTTACAGGCCTCGTCTATATCAAAGCCTAAAAATTGAACCGACTCCTTGGATAAGATCCAGACTTGTACTTAGCCTTAGGCCTATTCCCAGAAGCTTGTTCATGGGACCATCGGACTCGCCCGCTGAAGTAAGAGTTCCGTTATCACTAGCCACCACAGAGTGATAACATGTCCTTAAAATTCAACCTTAGCTGTGGAAATGGTGAAGCACATACTTAGAAACACGTAGAATTTCTAAACTAGCCTCACAGGGTTTGTGTTAAGTGATATGTCCATTTATGGAACTCTTTCCCAGACGAATCCCGTGTCAGTTAGGAACGACTGCAAGGCCTACGTCTAATTCGCCTACACCGCGCCGTACCATTTCGCGGGTTTCCGTTTTCCAATACTATACTCAACTTCGTCTCCGTTCAGACTTCGTATAGGAAGCCAACCCTTGATTGTGGGCCTGAAGCGCTTAACTTAAATTAAAGTACTGTAATGTTTGGCTCTTTTGCAACCTACTTGATATTTTGTGGCACTATCAGACTTACTATTGCGCTTATAACCTTGAAAGTCAGGTAGTAAAAACAGTTGCAGCCTGAAGCGGAGCCCAAGTCGAGTATTGGAAAACAGCCCTGTACACCATGCATAGAGGTAGCCTACATACTATTTCGTCGATAGTGTCGCGTGTCGGCTAGGGCACGGCCGCGCTGGGTGGACCGCTTTGGCCACCGTGATCGCATAGATTCCTACGAGCAGCTTCAACCACGTGTGCCGCTAGGTTGCCTGTTGGCCCCTGTGACCAACTTTTTTTTTTTTAGCTTAAAACGAATCACTGTTTGATTTATTATGACAACCCAAAACAATTTCATTGTTTGAACATTAGTTCAATACAAGTGTCCGTGTCAAAAGAGACAAAAATTGGAAGAAGGTGATGACGAAACTAAAACGAGATTGTGGACCAAACTACACACTATACTTACGGAGCTATAAAAGTGCCATCTGACATGATTTTTAATTTCTGTTTATTATGATGACACTTCTCAAGCGCAGTAAAAATACAGTCATATCATTTCAATCTCTTGATATAAAATTTCCAGGGCTCTGTGCATTTCCTCGCCCTGCAGAAAAAAATATGATGTTGCATGAAGATTTTTGCCCTTCCGATGTAGGGCCTATGTCCCCCCCCCCAAAGATTTTGTTTTTTACATTTCATTTATTATCTCGAACAAATACAAACATAAATAAACAAAAACAATGCCACAAACATTAAATAAAGATAAACAATAAACAAAACTGCGCATAAACCTGCAGAATCACTAAAAGCGAACTAACATGGAAACAATAAATTAACCTCATATAACAAGTAAATACCAGACCCGTAACTAGAACTTTTCGTGGGGGGTGCGAATCCTCAACAAAGCGGACCAAGCATAAATCTTTTGCTTTTTTATTTTAAAAAACAGCAGGATTCATGAGGTCGTAGGAATAGTTCTTTGGGTGGTTAAAATAAACTCCCAAAGAGGGGATTGACCAAGGCGAAAGAATACCGAAGCGCGCGGCATTCTTTTGCACAAAACGTTCTACTGTAGCTCAATATTTTTTTTTCTTGCTTCAAAAGTGGACATTTTAGTCACATAGGGGGTGCAGATGCACCCCTGCACCCCCCATGGACCTGAATACCATAGTAGGATTAAAATGAAAATACTCCTAGAGTCCTAAGTAGAAATCTTAAGGAATGGATATCATTCACCCCTCTGCTCCTATTAGATGTTTCTGTAGAAATGAAGTGACAATGTCTTTCGTTTGGCACGTGTAATTATGTAGATATGAAGTCGAAGGGACGTCGTCTTCATGAAAGCTGAACTATCAATTTGCAAAAAAGGTCTCGTTAACTTCTAACTGGTGGAGTAATCTAAAGCTTGATAAATACTATATCGCAAAAAGGACGGTGGATTCCTAAGTTCTAGCTTCCGACCAATCAAAACAATGACTGCATTCGTTGTTGACTTACGTGAACGTTTTATCGCTTGGTGTCTCGCCGTCAACCCATCTGAAATCCTTCTCATTTGGAAGGTCGTGCAAACCCACCCAGTATGCTGATTGGACGCCTGACAGCATCGACATCAACAAATTCTAATGTCAAAAAAGGTATTAAAAAGGGCCTGAAAGACGAGATTGCTGTGAACCAATTTATTACATTTTCATTGTCAACGAAAACAATTAGGCCCAGCTTTGAAACAATGCAGCGAATAAAAAAATTGTTCTGCGCAGAAAGTACATTGTGCATGTGCTGAGCAAGGCAAAACTTCATGGACTGAACGTGAGTGCAAATATTCTGACGGAAATTTGTAACCTCGTGGGGGGATTAGAGTTTCACCAATTTCTGGAGAAATTAAGAAATCTTGAGACCCATGTATGCTCTTTATAATTGGGTTAGAAAATGGACGTCCATACCTCTCTCTGTCCCTCCCGGCCAATTCGAAATCTTGAAATGCAGGCACAAATTATACGAACTGCAATTACCGGGAGAGTTACTCCAACCCAAAGGGCTAGGGGGACATTATAGCCACCGTTTTTAGAACCTGTGGTACTATGGCACCGTGCTTTCGAGGGGGGTCCTTTTGCAAATGAAAAACAAATCCACAATCATAAAATATCTCAATTCCAGGGGCGGACCCAGGTGGGCGTGGGCGACCAAAAATGCCATTAGGTCTTCGTGCTACGTGCTCACGGGCATTTTACCATTGCTGCTTTACTTCACCCCCCCCCCTTTGGGAAAATCCTGGATCCGCCCCTGCAATCCAACGCCGCCCCAGACTGTCTCAAAACCGAGATCCGCCACTGGTAATTTCAATGCCGCTTACGCTTGTTGCCGTATCCGGAATGATAGCCAAGTCAGCACCGGCTCTGCTCTGGCAGTTTGCGCGGGCGTCCTGCCATTTCAGCTTGGAGTCAGCCACAGCCAAGAAGCATTTATCGTTCAGTTGTTGCCAACTGCCTCCACATTTGACAACCCCACTCTGTGCCACAGCTGCAAATGAAGTAAATTAATGTCAGTTAAAAAAAAAATTCTCATTTTAAAAAAGCCCACGTCCGTGCGTAATCATTTTAATTGTTATGCTGGTGTGAGGTGCAGAATTTTTGGTGCAGTTGAGGTTGGTATATTGCAAGCACTGAGTTGGAACTCTAAATGCCTATATTCTTTATACAATTTAACACGCGAGAATATTTATTTTCCAACACTTAACTGGGGTATTGGCCCTTTTTCCTGTTTGTGGTCAGGCACAATAATGTTACACACACAATTGTAAAATATGTACATTAGCACAAGTCTCTAATGCCAACTCCCTTTAACATCAACATACATGTAAAAGTTACAGGCAAAGGCTTCGCTGACAACCTAAATTTGCGCCTGGCAAATTTAAACTAACACACCGAAGCATATGGGTTCAGTGTCAAAAATTATGTCTTTCTTGTAAGCCTACATGATTAGCTTTACGACCCAAATGATCGAAGTCTTATGGACAGCTGCAGCATTCCAGCATGTCCAATGCATCACGTATTTAATGCCATACTCTGCCATACTTTTTTCTGTTTCTGTTTGCTTTTTCTTGCATTTCAGTATGTTTTTACGCTGTTTTAATAAAGCTTTTTAAAGCTTTGGATAAATACATTAAATAAGGCAATAATTAGGCGCCTCCACCAAGACAACTTGCTATTACAACACTATGTATTGCAAATGCCTTCAATGTTTGGGAAGTTTGGATAATACGGGCGTTCAGCGCGCCTCCAAGAGTTTGCAACGCGTTGGCCAATCACAACGCGCAAATCTGTCGACCCTTTCCAAACGCGCACTGGGTCGACAGATTTCGGGCATTTGTATTGGCCGACACGCTGCATACTCTTGGAGGCGCACTATTTTGTGAATCGCCCGTATTCGGCGCAACAAGAGAGAAATACTTTCAGTTTGATTTTTTTTTCCTTTTTAGAGTTATACGGGCGTTTCACAATAGTGCACCGCCATTAATCTCCATCATTATAAAGAGAGATCAAAGTAAGCCGCGAAGGTTTGCAACGTGGTGGCCATTGTACGTAATGCGCGTTTGGATGGGTTGGTTGCACACATTGATTTCAGTGGCGATATGCAATGTACGTATGTTGCGCGTGGTGCACATTGGACGCGCTGCCGTCCACCGTTTCGCCCAATGTTTGCCCATGCTTTTCAAAATCACGGTTATACGGTTCGATCTTGCAGCACCATTTTGGTTCCCACCATGCTTTGTACGATCTGGCTAGCAGCCCATGGGTGCATTCGATTAGCTTACATGTGTAAGTCAAACTTACACGGGAGCGTGCGTTTAGCCATCACGTAATCTTTGTGCCTGCCCTGGTGTCAGCCACCACTACCCCGGCTGGCGAGCGGGTCTCTGGAGGCTGCCCGAATGTAATGACGTCACGGATGGACTGTAACACTGGTGTGTTCAGGGAAGCTAATCGAACGCACCCCATAGAGTCGATGTTGGACCATAGAGCTATATATATGTTTTTACAGGGGTTGGACACGTCCGGACTTGTCGACCGACAGTGTGGGTTTGGAAAGGGTCGACCATAAAGAATATAAGTATAATTGCCAGCATAAGGCAAGAACAACTTGGAATGTCGTGGATGTTTACGCGAGCGCGTGAAACGCGTACAATTGCGCACTGAGTTGAAGTGCGCGTGCGCGTTAAAATGTAGCGTAATCAAACAACATTTCGCCTGTTCGGGAAAAATTGGTGTAACGTAAAAAAAATGGGCCTGTCACCTCTTGCTCTGATCTCTATTATGGGGTCGACACGTTTCGCGCATTGTGATTGGCATACGCGTTGCAAACTCTTGGCGGCGCACTATTGTGAAACGCCTGTATTGCCTGAACAGGGTTCTCGATAGATCATAAAAAGTTAATAGAGTTCAAAATTAGATAGATTTAAATCATACAGTAAAACAGCATAGTTGAAAATACAGCCACAAGGTGAACGTTTTCTTTGAGGGAGACTCTCTTCGGGATGCCGTATCCAGAGAGGTACGTATATTTTCCGGGGGAAGGCGACCGATTTGAAACTTTTGCAAAACGGAACTAGCCGTTTCGTCGCAGATTTTGTGTTCTTTGGACACTTATTCTTTGAGGCTAAAGGCACGATAGAGTCTACTCGTGCAAGCCTCTGTATGGGCGTGATCTCCTTGTGAATCACAGGTATTTTGCCGAGCCAAGCACGAATCTTATCGGTAGGGAGTTAAGTGGTTCCACACCTCCAAGTACCACTGTCATCTTTGCATGTGAGGACTCCATGTGATAAGGCACCAACGATAACTATAAAGTACAAAAAAGGTCAACATGTCGAGGGGTTTTCTCTCCATTTTGACGTAACAGGCGTATGATCACTATCTGGAAGGTCAAGTATTCTTCACATTCTGTTTCATGTCACCTGATTTATCAGTGAAGCGGGTCAGTTGGAGTAGCATAGTTTAACATTGATTAAATTTTTCTATGCTCACTGATCAGTAGATTCGGTAAAATTTCACACACTTATTAATTAAAAACTTAAAATTAAAAGTGCTTTTTTTCTGTTTCTTTTTTTAATGGTATAATGCAATAATTTGGTAAGTCCTGTTGTAGCTGATTTCAGCCTGGCCTGAAATACACACAAAGTTTCCAAAAAGACTCTTAAGCTTAACTTTCCTGGACTGCTGTAATCAGTTGAAGTTGTGTAGCAATATACACCAAAATGGAAATGCAATATTTTGGGGGTGTAACCATGTTCTTTAAAATGACAGCACATGCATGATTCGTCACCTGTGTGTGTTTGTGTGGGGGGGGTGCGGTGCACCCTCACACACTCATCAGGTACGCCAATGCTAATAGACTTTGTTCACGGGAAACCATATTCCCTAAATATAAATATAAATCTTATTCAGTGGAGGAGTCAGAGTGAAACCAGAGCATTTGGATTTCAAGCCTAACTTTTTTGTGATTTTTTTTTAATGTAATGGAAATATGCCCCCCCCAGCGACGCCCATGCCTAAAACATTAAGATTTAAAACAAGCATTTCAAAACTCAGTGTAAACTGGCATCAATTTGTTCCCAACTGCTATTTAATTTTGTTTTCATTTTACTCTTAGGTTCCAAATCAAAGTTAACTTCGCTTTCAATTCAACATGGCCGATTCGTGAAACAAGTCTATCCGAGCAAGAATAAAAGGGGGTTTATTTTGAAATAAAACTAGTCCTTTTGTACCACAGACATATAAACGCATAGACCGCCAGGTCCTATTCAAAACTACAGGGGGTTTTCGTGATCTGTGCAACGCCCGAGTAAAATCAAAACTATGGGCAAATTCACCCCTCGGTATAGGGAATTTACGCATAGTTCAAGAATTTCCACCATAAAATCCTATGAAGCCATTTTTTTATTGTAAAAACCTCTATTTACTTAATCTGGCTAATAGGGGTTCAAAACAATGCGGTTGCAACATTTGAAAAGAATAGATAGCAGTATCGAAGAGCTAAAAAGGTGGACATATGTGAAAGCGCATATAAACAAATACAGGCAATATCAGTGCGTTGCGCGTAATGCGCACCGAACACGCTGCCATCCACCGTTCCACCCATTGTTTGCCCATTGTTTGCCCATACTATTCAAAATCACGGTTATACACGCAAGACTGGCGGTCTGTGCGTTTATCTGTCTGTGTTTGGTACGCATTCACCGCAAAGGCGCGCAAGTCTATACGAATTTGACGCGAGCACGCTGAGTACGCACAACGAATTTAGTCTAGAATCTTACCGCGCCATGTTGGTTCCCATCATGCCTTGTGCGATCAAACCCCTGGTATTGTATTGGGATAGTTAAATTAGGACTTTAGTCAGTGTGTTTACGCGCGACGAACATTTACGTGTGCGCGACGTGCAGGAGAATACGTGGACGCGAGCGTGTAGCTTTTGAAATACGCGTGCGATTGACTTTACGTTTATGTATCATATCATCCTGAATAGCCAGTCAGCGTCATTTAGTGTCGCATTCAATACGACCAGGGGCTGATGAAGGAACGCACACGCAGCCCATGGAGTCGAGATTGGTCTGGAATATACATAGAAATGGAATCCATAGGTTATCTGCGGGAACGTTCGCGTGCACGCCGAACGCGTCCAAGAACCCGGTTGGAAAACTTGGTACCGGTGAGGGTGCACTTCAGCTCAGGGTGGATTATACACCCCTCTCTTGTCCCAAACTGCTTTTAAACGTGTATTTCAACATTTTGGTTTCTTTTCATTTTTCTGTCGAAAGTATGTTTTCAGTCAATCCAATCTTTTAAACTCCAAAAAACAAGTGTGTTATTCAACACAATCACTTGTTATTATGTCTAGACGTATACGTGTCTAATTCCTGGAAAATAAATATAAACGTGCACATTTTTGTCATTTTTCTTTGACTGTTATTAATCAAATGATTATAGTGGTGTATTTATTTCCATTCTAAAGATATCTTTCCATTTTATTCAAATTATCGTATGTCCTTTGACCGTTATCAATTTGCTTGAGCCTACTGTAAAAATTGAGGGTCACTTATTCTGGATCGCGTGCTCGAAAAACTACCCTGGACGTTCTCCGTATTAAACGATGTCTTAAACTGAGTGTGTGTCATTTGCAATACAACAATGAAATACATGAGGCTGAAGCTAAGATGGCCGCTGGCAGTTAAACATAATCTCACTGTCACTTTCAACCATGTTACAGAAGGAGCTAAACATTACACGTCCAATTCCTATAACGCCAATATTTTAATTGCACAATATTACCCAGAGTACTTAGCATGTTCAATAATTAAAAATGCATATTTGAACGTAATAAAAAAGAGAGTGTTTTAAGAGGTTTAATCGCTTAACACGATTTTACAAAGTATAATTTCAATTTTTGCTTGTAGGGTTTCTAAAGCAAATTCTTTGTGAAATAGCAATTTTTCTTCCTCGACAACTGGACGAGCAGTTAAGTAATAATCACCTGTTGGGCAGGTAAAAACTCATTAAGGATATTATTTGAAGCACATATATCTGGAAAAAAAGAAATGTGATTCACCAGATTTTTAAAATATAGAGTATGCCGCGCGTCCCTGTAGTGATTGAAATTAGTGCATACATTTATCATAATATATTGCATTATATGTCGTGGTAAAATTTTGAAGGTACAGCAAACGAGTTTTGGCGTGATTGTCATTTGTGCTGATGAAATGACGAAGGACAGCATAAAAATCTTTACATGTGCTGTTCTATAACGAAGTCACTTTTATAATCACAGCAACAATTCAGGAAGTTTCGGTCGTAGGCAAGCTGGCCTTACCTGCAACTAGAAGCGAACAGAACACAGCAATCAAAAGCTGCATAGCTCACAGAGTTTAGGCCCAGACGGACCTCAACACAGGCCCTAAACAAAATAACAAATCCAAAATAGAACGGAGGGCTCTGCCCAAATCACTCTGGGCCTCTCACGCACACAGGCACGTTTGCCAAGCCGGTATTAACTTTATGCCGCAGCGAAAACTATAACTCAGCTCGTTTTTGTCGGACTCTAAAATACCTGAACCTGTTTACTTTTGAAACTTAATGGGGGCAGTCTGACTGGACTTTACTGTAGCAGTGGGAAATAAATATTCAAATTAGCTACTCTCTGGACAGATTTGTTGAATTTGTAAAGTAATGTGCAGATCGTGGTAAACGAGGTACTTTGATCGGATTTTAATCTGCCCGAAAAACCAACTGCATGGTACCGAAGAGCAGAGTAAATATTCGAACTTCGATAAAGTTGTACAATGTCACCCTCTTCGGTACAAAATTCAAAGATAACCTTGGCCAATTTTGTCAAGCATAGTATGAAAATCTCGATGACATTTGCAAGTTTGTAATTACAAGCCTTACATATACATGCATACAAAAGCATACACATACTCCCCCCCCCAAAGAAATCAGTTTTATCAAGCACCATGATTTTTTATATTCTACATATTCCAGTTTTAGTCTGCGCACAAATATCTATATATGCCGGTACTAATAGCCTGAAAAAAACAAGTTCACAGATGTAGGACGATAGTTTTGGGATCATCGGGCCCACATTTGGCATTCATTCCTCCTCAAAGTTCCACTTATTTTAGCCATGTTTTCGGTATTACCGTTTATTGCCAGTATAGGTTTGTTTGATGCCGATCTCATCTGAAGTCATTTAGGTTTACTGTGTTTTAACCTCAAAGTCGGGCGTTTCTATCCAAATCTAGACTCCTTCATGGCTCCTCAACGATTGCACTGGTTGCTTCGTGGAGCCTGTAGCTTCTGTCATCTCCACCCGTTATACGGTCTTGCACAGCGTTGGCGTTTGTCGAACAGCGATCTCCGACATAATCGACAAGTCCAGCTTCCATCTTTGCCGCATCTTTATCAGACCGACGTTCAGTCACGTGGTCCTCATGCTGACCTGAAATCGGGTTGAGATCATATACATTGGGGAGATTTTTCTGGTTAGCTGTAAGGGGATCCTTGTGAATAGTATTCTCTCCGGCCCCCATAATGATTTTGGCTTCTTCCTCACTTAGAGAGTCACTTTGCAATCTCCTCCTTCTTCTTTGACTTCTTTCCTTGGTCTCCCCAGGGCTGAAGCAGCTCTGCGAGGGATAGTCGTTCCGACCCACGAGCTTCTTTTCCATCCCTCGTAGGGGATTTGCTTCCAAGTGGGGGCACAGCCACGACGGTATGCTGGGTAGCAATTGTCTAACAGTTTTTGTTTCATCTGCCATAATATCTGTCTCGGCCTGCACCAGACCTACCTCTACTATTCGGTTCAAATTGTGTTCGCTCTGATTGTCTGTGCCCCACTCTGCTGATCTGAGATCTCAAAGGAAAGGGGTCTTTCGCCTGCCATTTTAGGCTCTTGTGGCTGAAAACGAATGTCAACTGAGATAGACGACGGCACACCAAGTGCCATTATCACAGCTGCGCCAAGTGGCAGATCTTTGGCAGATCTTTGTCATTATAGTGGTTGTATCATCGGAGATGGTCGGAAATGACAATTAAAGTCCTTGAGTCGGTGCTGTATTAAACGATGACATATTTGGGGGATCACACCCATTCTCATTTATAATTGTCCTGTCATCTTCAGGGATGGCTTTCATCGCCACACCCAGGGGGAGATAGTAGTTAACTTCCCCATGGATGCTGCTGGGATTCTCGGCATCAAACCCAAGCGGATAATAATCGACAGCCTGATCGCTTCTCAGAAGACGAAGCTTGTTGGAGAGTAACTTGTCCATGCGGAATTTTGCTATCGCTTTCTGTTTGGTGGACGGCAGGCGTAGTCGCGGCTGCTTGGTGGTGCCGATGGTTGGCACGTGAGGTGGTGCAGAGGACCATGAACCCCTTGGACAGGAAGTGGCCCCTGACAGGCTCGCGATACATTGGGGTGACACCAGAGAAGGGGTAGGAAACAAATTTAGACATGGGGTTCAGTGACAAAGAAAAAACATGAGCATAAATAACGATAAATCGTAACATATGTGGGGTCTACTCTCTAAAACATATCAGCGGATTGAAGTTACTTCAAGCGCATAGGTTAGGCATTCGAATTTTCTTTAAAGAACTTGACCATTTCGATACGGTACATTTTCACTTCAGATAAACTAGATTCAGCATTTGGGCTTCGCATGTGCGTCATTGGAAGTTGAATAACAATGAGCTTACCACTCAAATAGGAATTGGAGCTGCAATAAACATCCGCTGTCAGAATCTCTAAGTACAAGTACATCATCGTTGCAGTTTTATAGTTTCCTGTCCAGTTGAATGGAAGCTCTCCGGTGGGCTTTGATTTGAATCTGAAGCGAAACGTTGAACCAGTGAAAGGGCAGATCCAGGTTCGGGCAAACATAGTTTTGAGGTATATTTGTAGTCGCCGGTTATTGCTTACCATTCTAATTTCATATATTGGCAGCCAAAGTTGTTAAATAGATGGGCTTAAACTTGGTGTCAATTGCCAATAGACGAGGCAGTGACTTTGTTGCTAGACGCAGTACTACAAGACACAACTTGTGGCTGGACCTTGAGAATTAATTATGACAAAGCAATAAATTTACCATTTTAGTTCGATTTATAAAATTATCGAGATGTCTTCCGCAGAAACAGAAACAAGTGGCTGTTTTCATAGCATAAAGCATAAAAACGGTGACTTTGCGTTGCGCACTGCTCAAGCACAGCATGTCCTGTTCCTTCACCCCAACACACCATCCTGTTACATGGTCCGAGGAGAGGGGCAGGGCATGGACACAGACAAAACAAGACTTGTCCCTCAGATTGAAAAAGAATTATAGGTTTGGAATTCATTTCTTCCTGAAATGCATTCTTTTAGCTTTTCCAGTGTGTTTGTATGTAACGTGAGTATTTACTCAGATTGAAAGCAACTTTGAATATGGTGTTCAAGAGGCGTAATGAATTGTATGTATGGATTTCGTTGTTGAAATCCTACCCAGTCCAAAACCTGTTTCATCAGCTCAGCTATGACGTCCATGACGCGTAATTACAGTGTACTGGTCTGACACCAAAACGAAGATCAATCAAATTTGTATCCTTATGATTTCAAATAATTCATTTCTTTGCTTGCTTGTGTACCGGTAACGAGATGGATTTTTCCAAGTTTGTTTTTGTGAAGTTCCGGTTCGTTTCTATGAGATACAGGCCTAAAATGAAACTTGAAATATAAACGTAATCAAATCGATATCTCGTAAACGATTCATTTTGTTTCTAACAATGGAAACAATTGCCCTAAAAACAGATCTCATAAAAACGAACTGGATAATATACTTCGTACAGACGAACTTTGGACAAGATATATCTCGTTCAAACGAAGTTGAGAAAGTATACTGCGAAAAAACTGTACTTCCACAGCGATTTCGTACATTTGCTACATCGGAGCAGATGGATTTCGACAGAACGCAGATATACATGTATCTAACGAATGACAATTACTGTCGTCAGGTTAGTGCGCTGGGCTAGAGCCGGGAGCCGTGTCCAACTGAACGGCCGGCCAGTCGCCGGCCTTGCGTACTTACGGTACGTGAGCAAGTGACGGGAGTTAATTTTCATATGACCCTTGTAGAGGGCGCCATTCAAAATGGAGAAAAAGGCAGACGACGCCAGGGAGGCTCCGAAGTTGTCGGAAATCTTCGAAGATTCCTGGCGAATTAAGCAAGAACTGGACAATGTTGATAAACCAACAAATTCGAAATCTTATCAGGTGAGGCTTTACTAATATACTATTCTATTTGACACCCCATTTTTGAAGATTTTTTGCTGAGAATATTTCGGCAGTTTCAAGTCGCCAAATCGCAAATGACCGAGGTAGGCCTACCATGCCTACGGTCACTAACATTATATGGAAAGAGTTCTAAGGCCCCGTGCACAAACCTAGGAATGAGACTTGACTGAACAAACGTAAGTAAGTACGTCAGAATTTTCTTAGCTAGTTTTCACTTTTTAGAACATGTTATCCCTTTCTGACGGCTGTTATAACAGTTACAACATAGGCTAGCCTAGGCCTAATTAGTGTTGTCCGTGTAGTGGTGAAATAAGGGACCTGGGCCCGTCGTTGACGTTTAACTGTCTTGTCATAAGTATTACTGACACACTGACAGCCTGACAAAAGTTTTGAAAACCATGGTATTCATCAATGGCCAACACTGAATGTAGGTAGAGTATTACCAGTGTTTCCCCACTACACATATCAAAGATCTACATGACAGATATGCAGTTTCTTAATGCCAGAGAACAGCACTTCAAGTTCTGGTCACATGGAAATGAGGGACTTTGTCCGAACAGAGGTCCAGTGTGCATGTGTCCAGCACGTGCCAAGGTCATATTGCTTACAATGTCATGTCATAGATGAAGTGTCATATTTTAGATTAATTTTGTCAGGTGTAAGATGCATAAACTTGGATAAGGTTGAGAAAATTTCTATAGAAATTGGTCAACAATAGTTGGGCCAGCCCAACTGCAGCACTATAGTTGGGACAGTCCCAACTATAGTTGGGACAGATAGTTTGGGCGTAAAATCAGCACAATCGTCTGACAGAATGGCAGGATGGACAGGCATTTATCCAGGAGCTTTTGCAACTTGAGGTCAGAGCGAGGTGAAAACACCGTTGACTTGTCGCAATGTAGCGATTTTGCATTAATTCACTCTGAAAGGTTACAGAGCTTCCAGATGTCACAGAGATTTTACTTCCCTTTTTTGGCACAGTCTTCCACAGCTGTGAATTTTACAGGAGATAAAATCTTCTGAAGGTGAAATTACCAACAGATTTAGCCGTCACACAGAAATCAGGTGATCACTGAGATCGACTGTTACACCCACCTTACACTGTAACTAACCTGTTAGTTTGTATTTGTCTCTTTTAAGATATATAAATGGAAAGAGTTCCATATCTGGACATCACTTGGAACCCTTTGCACAAACTCCATGAAACTGGTCAGAAAAACTTCATGTGTTCTCGAATTAAAAACTTAAATATTTCCCCTGTTAAATACATGTATGACTTTTTAGGATACGTAATCACTTATGTGTCACTTACTGAAAAATTTAGCCAAGTTGCACAGCATCCTCAATTATATCGCAACTGACATTCTGGATATAAAGCCATCCTGCAGTGGACTGCTGGATGACTTCATATCCTGGAAGCCAGTCATACATGAAGACTGGCCTGCAATTGGGCTTTGAAGAATTAGTGATGTCCATGTGTGGAATTCTTCCCCGGAAACATTCCTCCACCAGAAGTTGACAATGATTGATTTGCTTGTTAAGGATACCCTGCAAAAGGCCATTAAGATGCTGGAGCAAGCCACAGTGATGGTCAGTCAACTGAATCTGTTCAGCTCCAATGAGCAGCTTGAGGAACTGCCAACCACAGATATAAGGTGGGTGAAAACAAATCCAGCTTTTCTGAAATTAACCTTGTCGTTACAATGGCCCCAAACCCTCCAGCCAGAAAGTTTGTATCCATTTTGACATGCCGTACATCTGTGTTGAATACTGCATTTTCATTTGCCCAAAATGATTAACTGACAGGGTAACAAAAATGCATGGCTCACTCACCATTACATATAACATCAGCCAGTTTTGTATGATATCATACATACGCACATGTATCCCCCTGCATTGTATCTATAGCATAAAGTAGGGACTGGTAACCACTTACATGTATGTTCAAAGATTCCTTCATCGCCCTTAAGTTCCATCAAGACAGGCACATGATAAAACAGTTGTTGCACTCATACATTGTACAGTTGCTGACTGTCAAGGGACGCTTGCCCTCCTCTTCCCAGGTACTTACTACTACCAGCACTCCTAGGGTGTCTGTCTCTCAAGGTCACCGAGGAGGACAGGTTGACGGTGGTGGAGCGCAGCAAGACGTATTTCATCGACTTCCTCCGACGGTGCAGGCAGTATGGGGTGACGGAAGAGGTGAGCTCATCTTAGCCAGTCTAACTTATTGTCTCAGTGCCTGTACTGACGAGGGCGCTATCACACCAACCTTTTGCAGTCAGGTACAAGCAAAAATAGTCCTTGCATGAGGCATGTAATATGTAAAACCATTGGCCTCGGGAACATTGGAGGCTCATACTTTTTTTGCAGCTTTCAATGAGCAAACATCATGTAGATGGTGAGATAAAGGCTGAATCCTGGTGTTGAAGGCTATTCCAGACAGAAAACAAAGGACAGTTGAATAGTTTGTCAAAGAATTGTGAATGTTGTTACAAATGTCAGAATATTGTTATATCACTTTATTCTTTTATATTATGGAAGTTCCAGATATATGTGAACTCTGTGAAGGATTCTGACAAAGTCTTGAATTTACTCTAAACCCCCTAGGGTGTATGTAAAAATCATATTGAAATTGGAGGATTCGGGACTGTTAGGGTTAATCTTAATTAAACACGAGTCTGTAGATGACATGACCTTTAAGCCTCCGTTGAAGTCTTTCAGATCAGATGCAACATTGGTCATTAAAATTACAAACGTAAAGTTAGTGTATTTGCTGCACTGGTAGTGCTAATGTTAAGCTCATTACTTTTGGTTTCAATTGTCAATTGCCCGTATCCCCCTGACACAGGAGATTCCTGAGGATCCAGAGCCCAGACCACACCCACCAAAGGGGCGGCCAGACCTGATGGCTATGCAGGCCAACAGAGAGGACAAGATCCGCCGCTACAAGGAAGCCAAGGAGATGGAGAAGAGGATGAAGGCACTGGGTGCTCACGCTGAGATGAGAAACAAGCCAGAAGATGTGCAGGTAGTGGCAGAGCACAGCGTCCATCCAGTTTATCGGTCATTCTGGGCAGCTATGTCACTGGGTCCGCCTTCTTACTTTGGGATTAGTGTTGGGTGCAAGATAGAATTACTGTTCACTTTCATTACAACAAGATTGCTGAAACTTGCCAAATTACCTTTTTTTTAACCAGAACCTTGATTAGAAATCCAATCCAATGGGAATTAGAAGATTTGCTTTTTGTAATGGTGTGTGTTATTGGAGGGCCCTTTACATCAAGATCCAACTGTAGAATAAACAGAAACAGTACTACTTTGGCACAGCACTGCCAGATGACATTGTTTTTGCAAGTACTTTTAAACTGGACATACAGTATTATACAAAATTGCCTGAAATTAAAAAGAATGCTTAGCCTTTTACATACATCAGCATTACATCAGGTGTTGTAAATGGCCGACTGGATGTAAAAACTTTGCCAAATGACCAGTTGCTTGTGTACATTTACTTTGACACAGTTGAGTATTCCTCCAAAGATTATTTAATCCACAACGGCAAATTTGATTTCTGGGTGCTAAAAGTCTATGACGCCTAACTTGGACTCAGTGAGACTGGAACCTGTGCGTCAGGTGTTGTTACCAGAAAAGACACAGTGATCTTTCACCAACCTATCTCTGCCCCTACACCCCACCCCCCACCCTTCTCCCTACCCCCGAAAAAAATGTAAGGTGAGCCAGCAAGCAGCACTTTCCAAAGAGCCCATCATTTTGCAATTGGGATTGTCTCACAGAGAGAGTACTACGTCCTGTGCTTGAAGAAGTGGGTGGGCACAGCACTGGAGGAGTTAGCCGGTATCCAGCAGGAGATGGAAATACTGCATCATATGGCTAGGATGAAGTCTAGGCAAGAGCAGGGTACCAACGCAGAGCCCGAACCACCAAAAGAGAAACCCAGACAGGTGAAGAAGAAAAAAAAACAGACACAGTCGAACCCCCTCTTGAATGAGGTCCTTGAACCTTGTATTGCAGGGCCTTTAAGAGCCATGTTTCACAAGGTATGGAAAACAAAGAATTACGACAATTGGGACCTTACATTTGCCTCGTTATGAGCAAGATGTTGCACAGTTTATGGAAAAAATCTTGTGCTTCGCCTCATGAAATCTCTGCATGGAACTGTCGTACTCACCACCTGTACTCGCTATACTGAGAACATAAACCCAGCATACATGATTTGTACAATTGATTGAGAACAGGAACACACAGAATCATCGTATGGTTCGTTCTTTTCCTCGTGAGTCAGTCATTTTTCGAATATGATGCTCTACCACGTTGACATTCTCATTCTGTGGGAAGATGTTTCATTGTGGAACCATAATGTCTTGTTCTTAAAGGCTAATTAAATTGTGAAGAAAGAAGTGCACACCTGTGCTGGAACACATGCAGCAGGTGTGGCTGATTTTCAACGGAATGTGTACAATCTATGACAAACACAACCAAGCCTGGGTGCCCAGTTCCAGCAACACTCATCATGTGCCCTTCGGTTTTGTGTTCTTTTGCTGGGAGGTGCAGCTGTGCATGGACTCCCAACCAAAACATTGGCCAGTATGTCTGATGGTGTTGCCTACCTCATTCTGCATGTTATTAGTCAGTTCACTAATCCCCCAGGTTGCAGCTTCACAGTGATCGTGGTCTTAATTCATTGCTGCACTCTCCCCCACAGCCCATGAAGCCGTTCATTCTCACGAGGGACGCCATACAGGCCCAGGTGTTTGGTGCCGGCTACCCCAGCGTCCCAACAATGACCCTGGAAGAATTCTACCAAAAAGAAATAGCTGAAGGGAAGATACTTCCAAACTCACAGTGAGTTATTGAAAGTCATAGAAGTCAAAGTGTCACTGTAATATCGGTGATAAAGCGCGGCACTTTCAGGCCAGACTTGGCTGTTACAAAAATACTGAAGCTCTCGCCTAAATTCACACCCCAAATATAGCATTTTGGAAGGCTAACAGATGCAAAGTTTCCACCAATGAAAACCAGTTAATTTGGGTTCTTAAATGCAGCCTTACCTAATAATTTTCCCCTACCTGGATGATGACCAAAAGATGTAGTCTTTTGAAGGATTGAAGCTGTTTGGAATTCAAATAATTGGATTTTATAAAAGTAGAACCACATTTTTAGATCTACTGGTCTCTAAATCCATTACACAGGAACCCAACTCCAGTTAGCCAGAGGGAGGAGGCAGAGAGGAAGGAACAAGAGAAGGAGGAAGCCATCGAGAGAGACGACCCAGAAGCCCTCAGGAAGGCCAGGGAATGGGATGACTTTAAAGACAGTGAGTTAACCATTGATACACTGACTCTTTGACAAAGATGGAACTCGGTGAAGGGAAGGGAAATCCGTCCATTGACACTGCCACCTCCGAAATCGCCCACCCACACACACCCATGTGATACATTAGACTGACTCATCTATAAGCCTTCCAAATCCTTCAAAATCTATCAAGTTCTGGGAGGATTTGTTCGGCAGGATTGAGGAAGTTGGAGTCCAGTCTCTTTTTCACATGTGCTTTACATAGGGCTTGATGCTACTTGATGGTCGAAATTTGAAGATTGAGATGCCTTGAGGCGCCTTTCCAGATGCCTGTCAACACTTGCGCCAAGCGTTGCTTACCTGTCAAGATCACTCTCTAGGTAATTTTGACGGCCGAACACAACGCACACCTGTTATGTTAATGGTGTCGATTTTTGTGTCATGAAAATGACACGCACGGACACATCGTTCACGCAATGCACCCCCACAACTGACATATGGAAAGACTCCTTCAGATGCTGAACTGAAGCTCCTTAAAGCGGATGGGCCATGCTGGGAAGATTTCTTGTAAAACAAGCATCAACACATAAAGCATACATACATATAACAAGAAATACATCTGCATAATTTCAAAATGCGCAGAAATATGTAAAAATTATAGTTTTCACAACCCTATTTCACTCTCTTCTTGGAGCAAAAGCTAAACAACCACCGTCTGGCACCGAAAGTTGTCTGAAGAAATTCCCAAGAATCGTGACGTCATAGGCAAGGGTCCTTTATCCGGCGACTGTTTAATGTTGCACAACAATGTGTCGACATGTACGTAATGCAGTAGCGCAAGCGTGTGCCATCATGTCAGACTCAAGCGACGATAAATCCAGCATTCATGCTTTTTCCGATCGCAACGATCAGTCGTCAAGTTCGTCTTATTCATTTGACGAAAGCGACTTTGAAGAAGCTGATGAGACACAAGAAATATTACCTTGTCAGTTCGAACCAGAATACACTCAGGAAGAGAATTGGCAACTCGAGGTTGTTGGCCACAGGCAGTCTTGTAGTCGAGACCAATTAAGACATTTACAAGACCACACAAGACCAGCACAAGACCTCCAGTGTAAATTCAAGTCACAAGCTATTCAAATGAACTGCAACAAAAGCATCCTTTGTCATTGTTCACCCTGTTACTTGTGACTGGTCTTGTGATTGTCTTGACTACAACACTGGCCATGGGCATGGCGGCGACCCAGAGGATCAGCAACAAAACACTGACTGGTAATGATTTTTTTCTTGCACCATTATAAAAATTTGTCTGTCTGAAAAGACGTAATTGTCCTATCATTGGCTATTCGATAGCTGTATTTGCTGATGTTTGTTTGATAAATCCTGTTTTAAAGTGAAACATGCACGTATTATCGTTGACAACGGGCAAAACCAAGTGATGCGAAACAGGTTGACGTTGGGTTGGGATTTGTCTTAAGGGCCTACTGCCTACTGGGAAAGTTAGATTTTCTTCCTTGTCTTTTATCTGTTTTGCCAGTTTGGTTGTTTTGGGGGGTAGTTTTTGTCCACGATAATAGGCTAGCCTACTTCGTCAAAGTTGGTATTCCGTTCCAACAATTTTTTTCACTGTGCACTGCGGGTTGATTGCTTGGACAAATCAACTTTCTTCCCGGAATTATGTATTCTGGTCTGGAAAGTTGAGTCCGTCCTATGAGGTCACATTTTTGCCAAGAATTGTCTGCTGCCCTCATTGACCGATTTCGATAAATTTTTGCGAATGATGAATCAGCTTATCTTGGATTCTTAACAGCTCACAAACGTGGCTGCGGCAATCGGGAGAACATGGGCTGAAGTTCCAACCACATTGATGGGTCGAGGAAATGACAGGTGTCTACCGATACGGAAGCCCACTTGCCACTGATCGGGAAGGACCTCGAAGACGGAAAGTATCCAATCTCCCGGTACTTTCCAGTAGAAACCCATTCATATTTGTGAAGCTTTTATTCCCTTTTATTTCAACTGAAGAGAATGAGAAACTCTCGCAATCCAGCGTCACCTGTGCCATGAGAACTGAATGCTGTTACTGTAACTGTGCATGTAGTGCTTTTGTTTTGCAAGGAACTGCCTTCTCTTCTCGGCTGTAGAGGTCTGTGCTTGACGACTTCTGTCAATGTCATTAACATCCACTTGTGAGAGTGTATTAGGAGAGAGCAAATAAAACGGAATCATGTCACAAAATGAGCCATCATGTGTAGATGTTGTTTAGGAAATTAACACTACCAAGAAACTACAAGGTACTGTAAAGAAAATACGTTAAAATTAAAATCAGCAAAAGAGGAGTAAAAAGAAAGAGCAAAAAGGACTACAGACGAGGAATTGAACATTTCACAGTTTATTCATCTTTGTTACCTGTTTCAATTAGTCATCGCTCCTCATTTGAGAAATGTACACGTGTATTTACTCATTGCATATAGTATATCTATTACTACATAATAAATAAATGAGATAATATGCCACCCACCCCTACAAGAAAATTTCTTCAAGTTTTCCTTCACTTTTCATTTCAAAACCTCTGCTTTGCAGTGATTTGTGTGGGACAGAATTGGTTTGTTCTGTACAACGTGTATAACAGAAGTGAGAACAGCAACTAATTTCTCTTACTGTGCGACATTTCTGTACACTAAATCTAACGGGTTGCAATGGTTTTCATTTAAGTAACTGCTGAAACATTTCCCACCTAACCTGTTCGTCAATTAGACGTTATTCAAGGAAAGCCATTTTAGATTCTGTTCCGTTCAAAGTCATCTTTTAAATGTGGTAGTGCCAGACTGTTTTGCATTCCAAGCTTCACATTAATTTCTTTTAATATGTGGCACAAATTTCAATTTCTTTTATCAGCACAAATTGGTGTGAATTTTCTATGAAGTTTTATCTCATTGCGAGCATTTCTACTCCTAGCTTCAAAAAAAATGAAAAGTTAACTTCACTTTCAATCTAATATGGCTCACTCAAGAATAAAGTCTACTTCTAATCTTTGGTCTTCTTTGTTACGACAGATGGTCAAACATGCTAAAGAAGTTTTTCCCTAAAATTTCTCAATTTCTGGTTGTTCCCCCAGCATTATCAGTCAGGAGGCCTGTTCGAACTTTTGATCACTTGTGTGTCTTGAAACAAAGAGGTAAATATAAATGTGTTTTCCTTGAACTTGGGATGTGTACTTAATATAGCTTGAACTGTCAATTTACCACAGCCGTGTCTTTGTTTTAATGATCGTGTTCTTTTTAACCCTAAAATCTGACAAATTTGTTTGGACTGACCAAAACCTACTGAAGACGTTACATTAAATATGACATGTACAATGGAACAAAAATAATGCATTAGGAGCATGTTCTTCTGTGTGCATTTTCACTGTAGTTGACATATTCTTGAACTCGCATCCATCTTGTGAAAAATTCTTGGCACAAAAACTCTGGCCCTGTCAAGAGACGCTGACATTGTCAAAATATGCACATTTAATTTTGTGAGAACAAAATAGAGTTTCACAAATTTTTACCCAACTTTTTTTGGTTCCTTTAAAGTTTGGTAATGTTGCAAAGAGGCGTAAATATATGTATAACCATGAAGAGCCACCACTGCCATATCTGCAGTGAAGTACGCACCTGAAACAAGGGTGGATTCAGGGCCATGGGGGGGTGCAACAATTTTTTTTTAGGAGCACCCAACTTTTTGGAAATATTTTTGTTACTCTTTGTTTGGCCTCTCTTACGGTTAGACCTTTCATTTTCCGATAAAGAGCTTTTGGCTCCTGGGAATGCAATGGGCCCTGTAGCCCCCCCCCAACCTGACAGTGCTGTGAATTTCAATGTGATAAATCTCTCACATGAACCTTTTTGAAGTGCCCTGCCTAACACACACTTCAACTTTACCTTACTTTGCTTACGGAATTTGGTAAAGAACATTTCATAAAAAATTTACAAAATGATTTGAGGACAGGCTTTCAGAGTGTTTTCGTTTTGCCTTTTTACAGAGATCTATTCTACAGTTGCATTGCCCATGCGAGTCACAATTCACGCCAGAAGGAAAAAAAAATAAATAAGTTTTTTTTATTTTCTTTTCAAATCACTATTACAAACAGTGGTTACCAGTGTTAAAAAATACCTTTGGGTCAATTTTAAGTCTGGCAGTGGACTTGAAATCTATCAGTCTGTACAAAAAAAAAAAAATTCACCGCCGTTAGTTTGGTCTACTGACCATTGCACAAGATGGCTTTGACACTTCAGCACCATCTTCAAATGAAGTCATGTGATTCCAGTCACCTGACACACTACACAACCATGTGGTAACACTCACATTAAAAATCCTCTAGCCAATCACATATTGTAACACTAGATAACATCATGCGACATTTGTATTTTTACAATTAATCATGTTATCGTCATTAGTTCAAAGTATATATACCACATAGATAGCATTCTCTGTACAGTCAATGATTTTTATAATACATTTGTTGTCATATATAACATATTTACTTTCAATTTCAGGCTTACAGCCACAAGTACCTTAAACACTGGTTGTAGAACCACTTTTAAGCATTCTCGTCCCAATTTTGTGAGGCATGCTTTTTCAGTTTCATAGTGCCGCAGTCAAAAAACAACAAAAACAGAAACCTGATTTTGGAGATGTCAAAAAGCTTCTGCGCCACTTCTGCATCGGGATAGTGGCAATGGGGATATTGTCCCACTTACAACAGTGACTTCAACCTTTTACCAACACTTGACTTGTCAGTTTGTAGGGTCTAGATTCACAAGCTTTTCAGTCAGAAAAAAAAAACGAACTGATGGAAAAACAATGCAAACATGTTTGGTTTGTAATAACATTCACAGTGATTACACTTTTTGAGTGCTGTCAGAAAAATGACCCGTTTGACATCCTGCAAAATCCTGATTTTTTTTCTTCTCTGGTGAGTACTTTGACAAAGCTAGAATTACTTGAAGCAAGGTTTCTGACACGGATTGGTGATACAAAAAAATTACATCTTTTCCTCCAGACATTATTTCCACAAACGTTACACATTTATGGGAAATGTCACGCTGGTGTGCAAGAAACTCTTCAAACAAAAGTTGTCACATGAGCCCTGGTGCCGCTTTTATAACAAACATTTGGCAGTTCTATTTTCAGACCAAAAAAAAAACCATTCTCCCAGGGTCAGTCACTGGTGGCAGAAGCAGAGGGGCCAGGGGGCTACTACCCCCTCCCCTTTCTAGTTGGGGGTAATGACCCCTCCTCTTAGCGTGTCCTTTAATGCCTGATGGTCACACAAATGTCTCCCCCCTTTTAGAAATTGTTCCACTGCCGCTGAGGACAGTCCTTTACATGGCGTAACAGTGTGAAACTAGTAAAGGACACTGTGTGGCCACTGGCCAACAAGTAAAAGCCCACAGGAGGGCACTGGAGGGCTGGGCTGAAGTTTTTACAAGAACTGATACGCGGGCATCACAATTTAGCCTAACAGGCAAGCGGGACTTGGGGTATTTCACACTGAATGTGCACACGATGCTGGCAACCAAGGTTTATGTAAGTTACAAAAGAAACTTGAGGAACGCACTTCAGCCCGCCCAAGTGCCCGTAATTTGCAGTTTGGCGACCAAACAAGGCAAGGGTCAATAAATGTGATTGTTCAGCAAAACTGACAACTGCATGAGATGTGAAATCGTTCACACGAAGTGGCCCAAAATCGCCCTGAGCTTTCAATAAAGCAATACATGAAACACACACATACACAAAAATACATGCGAGCATCTCTCCATGTAAACGCCATCTTCCATCATCGTCAGATGACGCTAGATGTTACTTTTCCAGGGTGGTTTTTCCCATATGACCTCCGGAGGGCACTGTTGTTGACGTTCATGTCGCCACCGTCATCCGGGCAGCCATTGGCCAGCATGACTTTGACACATTCGTCAGCCCCCACGCTGCGTGCATATGCGAGGGCTGTCCTACCATCAGCATCAACTGCTTTGACATCTGCATTGTACTGAAATTTAAAAAAAAAAACCCAGAATTATACCTGAAAGTAATAGAAAATGATAGAAACAGGAGGCTTCAAAAATCAAATAATCGCTGTATTTCTACTCATATTATCTCCAACCCCCTACCAATCTTTTCTTCAGTTTACCAAAAAAAGGTGACCACTAGTCTGCAATGTACACGTGCGAGGAAGTGCAACTTTAGTCAAACATTACAGAGACAAGGACATGGATCGGTTACGCTGTGATAATCAGCCTATGCAAACACATGGCAAAACGTGTGCAAGTTTAAATGAATAACACTGGTACATGGAGCTATTCCTACCCAGAATGGTGAATGGGATCTGTGCTTTGCGACAAGTCTTGTCCAATTTTTNGAACCCAATATTTATGCTCTCTGACCAGTCTTCCTCAGACATTTGATGCGTGTTTGCCCACTCACCCAGACCAGTAGCTGTGCAATGACCACATTCCCCATGGCACAGCTCAGGTGCAGCGCTGACCGGCCGTCACCCTCCCCGTAGTGATAGTTGACATCATCTTGACTGGCGTGGATGAGAACCAGCGTGACCAGCCGTACGTCCTCCTTGATCACCGCCTCCATCAGTTGCTGCAGATGACAGAGACAGGAGATATTCAGAGCCGTGCCTCAGCCGTGTCCAGAAAGTCACGGCTGCAGCTGGACTGTGAGGCGTGGACTAGTCAATGATGTGATATGCATAAGGATGAGGGTAAAATGCACTTTTATCGCCCAGTCATGTGATCATTTTAGGCCAATGAAAATACAGTACTCTAAGACAGGGGTAAAACAAAGGGAATTATAACAACAAACCCACCATTCCCAGCGGTCTGTCAGTGAACGGTGGGGGAGCGGCAAATTCCTTCTTCTCGTACTTGGCCCGTATCCATTTCTCCTTCTCCTCCCTGCTGGCGGAGGCAGCTGGCCTGGTCTGATTCCGTAACAACCCCTCCCAGATGCTGTTGGCCATTGCATTGCCTATGGACAGCATGACAGCAGTCAGCTCAGGCCTGCAGGCCAAAAAATGAGAAGGATGCCAAAGGATGAAGAAACGACAACGGACAATCAAAAATGGATAAACCGTTCAGGGTGCTGAGCTGGAACTGGAAAGTGCACTGTGTTGCCTATCCACAGCTGGCAAGCAAGGAGGGTAAACTGCACGCACGTTCTGGTTAACCACTTCATGCCTGGGCATTTTGCAATGTTGAGGATGCTGGGCCGGCATGACTATCATTTTTTCCGTTTTCAAAATCCTTCAACAATTCATCATTCCATTTAACAGTCATTTATAGCCACACAGAGTAATCTTCAGGCACTACTCTAAGTTGACAGATGACCTTCATTGACGCCCGAATATTTTAGCCAGGCCTGCAGCCTGGTAAACAGAGCCCAGATAGTGCGGTGTTATACAACTGTCTTTTGTTCACGAACCTGGCTCAGTGCACTGCTGACCTCTTTTCAATAGGGGCCAGATTAGCATGCAGCGGTGCTGTGTGGCTCATCGCTGTGGTGGTGGAAAGCTTTTGTCCCCGGTGGTAATCCGCTTGCTCTAAATACCCCAAACCCTGGTATACGGTTTAAAAATAACGCTGGATTATCACCACTTTTGAGAGTGAAAAATGTCAGTAATGCCCAGCAGCCTGGTCTTNGGACCCAATATTTATGCTCTCTGACCAGTCTTCCTCAGACATTTGATGCGTGTTTGCCCACTCACCCAGACCAGTAGCTGTGCAATGACCACATTCCCCATGGCACAGCTCAGGTGCAGCGCTGACCGGCCGTCACCCTCCCCGTAGTGATAGTTGACATCATCTTGACCGGCGTGGATGAGAACCAGCGTGACCAGCCGTACGTCCTCCTTGATCACCGCCTCCATCAGTTGCTGCAGATGACAGAGACAGGAGATATTCAGAGCCATGCATCAGCCGTGTCCAGAAAGTCACGGCTGCAGCTGGACTGTGAGGCGTTGACAAGTCAATGATGTGATATGCATAAGGATGAGGGTAAAATGCACTTTTATCGCCCAGTCATGTGATCATTTTAGGCCAATGAAAATACAGTACTCTAAGACAGGGGTAAAACAAAGGGAATTATAACAACAAACCCACCATTCCCAGCGGTCTGTCAGTGAATGGTGGGGGAGCGGCAAATTCCTTCTTCTCGTACTTGGCCCGTATCCATTTCTCCTTCTCCTCCCTGCTGGCGGAGGCAGCTGGCCTGGTCTGATTCCGTAACAACCCCTCCCAGATGCTGTTGGCCATTGCATTGCCTATGGACAGCATGACAGCAGTCAGCTCAGGCCTGCAGGCCAAAAAATGAGAAGGATGCCAAAGGATGAAGAAACGACAACTGACAATCAAAAATGGATAAACCGTTCATGGTGCTGAGCTGGAACTGGAAAGTGCACTGTGTTGCCTATCCACAGCTGACAAGCAAGGAGGGTAAACTGCACGCACGTTCTGGTTAACCACTTCATGCCTGGGCATTTTGCAATGTTGAGGATGCTGGGCCGGCATGACTATCATTTTTTCCGTTTTCAAAATCCTTCAACAATTCATCATTCCATTTAACAGTCGTTTACAGCCACACAGAGTAATCTTCAGGCACTACTCTAAGTTGACAGGTGACCTTCGTTGACGCCCGAATATTTCAGCCTGCAGCCTTGTAAACAGAGCCCAGATAGTGCGGTGTTATACAACTGTCTTTTGTTCACGAACTTGGCTCAGTGCACTGCTGACCTCTTTTCAATAGGGGCCAGATTAGCATGCAGCGGTGCTGTGTGGCTCATCGCTGCGGTGGAGAGATTTTGTCCCCGGTGGTAATCCGCTTGCTCTAAATACCCCAAACCCTAGTATACGGTTTCAAAATAA